ATGAGGGCAGGGGCGTGGCCAAGCGTTGAGCATCTGGCGGTAGGTCTTCCTGGGAGGCGTGTCGCCACCGAGGTCGGCGTAGAAACGACCCTCATCACTAGCAAGATATTCTTGGGTTTCTGGTACAGTTAGAACTCGAGTCACTCCATATTGGTCGGTAACGACAGCGTGATCGCCCAGGAAAATTGGTCGACGTTGGAACCGCGTTTCAAAGCAGGCGAACACCACGAGAACGAGTCCGACGGCAACGGTTATAACAAACACCCAGTAAAACCAGCGCCAGCCCAGAGCTGCCACTTCGTACGAACTGGCTAGCGTCAGGAGACTCGTCACGATGTTTTGAGTGGCCCAGTAGATGCCGTAAATCGTGCCGCGCTGGTGGATAAAGGTCACCTCTGCCAGCATCAAGGGGAGAAGCTATTATAGATTAGATCAGCAACAAAAAATAGAAGTACGACTGCCACACCGATTCGGTCGCTCCTGTCGCGAAACCTAATAAGACACGCAACCCGAAATGCTGGGCCCAGTTCTGCGACAAGGCACAACCAATCAACGAGCCCAGCAGAACGGTGTTGGCAATGAGCATCACTGGTCGACGCCCACAAACAAGGGCCAACGGCAGGATTATATAGTTCCCTAGCGTCGGTAAGTTGCTGATGGTAATAGAAATGGGAAAGATACCTTACCAATCCCTACAAACAGTGAAGGAAAAGTGGAGAGCCAGACAACCTGGTTGGTGCTGTGACCTTCTGCGCCATACATCTGAAAGAATACATCCAGGACTGAGCCCAGACCTCCAATGACGGATAGTGACATGATAGCTGGGGGAATGAGCTTGACGTTCGTAATTGAAGAAAGAAAGACTCACAGAACCAACAGCAGCACACTACGATGCCTGTCTTCTCCCACACCGCAAAGTTCAAGGGGTCATTGGGATCGTCACTTGGTACCGGGAGACGCTTAATGCGACCGGCCTCGTCCACCAGAATCTGGTCGGTATGCTCGATGCAGTCGACGGCGATCTTCTTGTCGGCCATGCTGCTAGACACTCATACTTGAATAACAAGCGGCTGCATCGAAGCGTGCTCTGGAGGGCTTTATAAAATCGCAGTCTATGTCCACTCCCCGAGCAGACTAAGCATGATCTGGAGAATGCGGGGGAAGACATGGGGAATCCTGGACACGAGGCGGCGCCGAGCACATCAGCCCCGAAGGCATTAGATGCCGCCGAGCAGATAGTGTCCTATCGCTGGCATCGTTCGGCGGAACGCTCCACACGAAGAGGTCCCGTCTCGGTCCCGTCTCAGGGTGTGGAGCAGATAAATATGATTTGAGACCCACTGCCAGATGCCAGAGCTGTATGCCAGCCTGCCATGATCAGTGAAGATTTGAGTGGTGTAATGGTCCAAGAGTTGAGGAGTGATTCGGGGCTGGGCCGCCACGCTCGGACGCTCGGGGCGCCCCGAGAGCTCTAGAATGGCCGAGGAAGATAAGGACACATTTATATCATGCCTACACGGGACGAATACAAATTGAAGGTTCTGTTCCTTGGAGTTCATGAATCAGCAAGTCCTATATACTTGGAATATTGTTATGCTGGTCTGCTGTCCTGCACATTAAATATTTGTCCCCATCGTATCCATCCCCAACACTCAAGCGGTCCGGAAGTAATTCACTCCTCGGGCACAAGCAACCGATCGATATCAGGACCTACTCGGAAGATATTAGTTAGCGACATCTACGCCCATCTTCTACGCGACGAGACATACCGTATTCCTCCTCATAGGCGCTGAAGGTGATGATATTGTCATCGCCGCTCTCTAGTTGGGCGTTCAGCACCGACGTGGCCGGCGTGTTTCCATTATCAGACGGTAGGAATGCCAAAATCTGCGACTTGCCGTTTACTGTGACGGTTGCGTAGCGCTGGGTAGAATCCCCGTTCTCATACCGCACCTGGATGGTGGTTGTGGTCGACGCGTCACTGGAGATGTTACGCATCTCGAGAGTCCCATTGTCGGACCCTCCAATCCAGCCAACAGACTCGTCGCCCGAGCAGCCGCTGCATGAGATAACCTTTGCTCCGTTGGACAGGACGTTGGTGGATGCTTCAGCTTCCGGGTCAGTTTCGTCGCCCCCGGACGACCAGGTGTCGTCTGTGGAGGGGATCCAGTTGGAGCTATTAATCTGTTGGTCGCTGTTAGTGGGATAACTCAAGAGGTCGTTTCACATGAGGATCTGACCAAGGTCGCGTTGGTTCCACTCAATGTCAAGGGTAGCCAAATGTATGTCGAAGCCATCAGATTCGATGAGACCCAGCGGTCACCCATATACCTGCCGTCGTCAGTACAAGAGTATACTCACTTCTCCAGCCATGCTCACATCACGCTCTTCCCAATTTGCATCACAAAGGTGGTCTGGGAGTCATAGGTGTCCGTCCCCGCCGTCGCAAAGTCACTCCAATCACTCCATGTGCCATTGAGGTCTGTGGAAGTGGTGTACTTGTTATCATTGGCAGCTAAATAAGATGTCAGTAGTCACACAGGCTACGATTATTTCCGAATCTCCACGTACACCATCCTAAACATTGTCAGTGAGGCATTCAATAAGGGGAGGCTCGAAATATCTAACCAGTCAATTGCGATCCGAACATGAAATAAACCCCATCCTGCTTATAGATGGCCGGTGCCTCGTAATGTTCCGGGAACAGGTGAGTAGTATAAGTTACATTGAGGTAGTCGTCAGTCAATCGGTCAATCCGCAAGCCGTTCGGACGCTGTGAGGTTAGCTTATTAATGCCCATCGAAATATCTGGTGCTCGGCTTACATCCTCAGAAAGCAAATAGGCCGTTCCGTTGTCATCTTTGTACAGACCGATATCGCGCGACTGATGGCCCAGCGGCTGGAACGAACCACTAGATCCCGATATGAGGTTGTCTCCTGTGGTACGACAAAGGGCCGAATGCTCACAGATAATAGTACTGTCCGCAGACGCTTGAGGAGGTGGCTACCCCCGTTTTTGCCTCGCCATAGGAGCTATCGTCGATGTGCATCCACATCACATACGTGGAGGTGTCATCGTTGTAGATGATCTTGGGCCGCTCCACGACACGGTCGGGGCCAAGGTCTCCACTGCTCTGCAAGGAGAGCAATTCACCCTCAAACGTCCACTCGACCAAGTTCTAGAAAGCATCGTCAGACACGTGTGCATGCTACAAGTTACCCAATCGGAGATGACGCACAGTGCTGGAGTAACAGTTGATGGACTGGAAGTTGCTTCCGTTCAGGTGGTTCTCTCCGGCCCAGTAGTACGTGCCGTCCACTTTAATAATGCCTGAAAATCACAGAATGAGAGATAATCGACCGGATATTTTGGGTCTGCATCTGGATTGATGAAGCACCTACCACCTCCATGAGCTTGAATATGTTGATTTGTCCCCGAGGCAGTCCATGTCGCGCCCGGAACCTGCCCCTGTTAGTTCTCAGAGGTCTCTTTAACTACAGCAGGACAGGCACAAACAATCTGTAACGATGCAGTCGCAACATTGGCGATTGCTACGGAAGTAAGAAGGACATGCGCCAACATGATGCTAAGACTCGATATCAGGCAAGAAGCAGTATATGAAAGGGTATTGCATCGCCAGGGGCAAGCAGGTCAGGAAGTGACCAGTAATATGTACATGATGCGAATGAGGGGATAGAGTGGATCGGGTGATTGGGGGAGAAATCCCCTGCCCGATATTATATTGCTAACGGTGCCACCTCAACCGTGTCTCATATTTCTTCAGGGATCCTGGCTGGCTTTGCTGCAGGATCTGCATTCTTTTTGGGATTTGCTCCGGTGGAGGTTGAAACCCCGCCCGTGAGTCCGATGATCCTTTCCGAGTCCGATTCCTTCCCACCAGCTGCAAGGAACAGGCCACTTCTCCATCCACTCTACTGTTGACCTTAAAGATCGCCATCTTAATCCTGGTCGCGGTTCTGTCAATGCAACTCGCAAGCCTGAAACCCACCAATGTGCTGCGGATGGAGTACAATCGTTGACAGCCCAAACAAGTCCACTTTTTGGGTGACATTGTTCACCCTGCTTCCCCAATTGTTTCCAATCTACATCTGCGGAATTGGGAAGATCATGCTGGCGAGGTCGGTGATCTCCTCAACACCAAGACTTTTGAGGCTTTGAAGAATTTCGTCGATCGTGGTGGAGCGAAGTCCTTCCTTATTGCGAGAATAGATGTCAATGCCGGCCGGAGTGAAGATTGTTTTGGCAAAGTAGGTGACCATCCATTGATTGTCTTCTTCCAGTGCCTGGCCAAAGCCGAGGCATTCCCAGTGCGAGCTCGCGATCATCAGCCAACCCCTGCCGCGCCAGTCCCAGGCCCCTTGGTTCCCCGGAGTTGGGGTGTCCACGCCATGAACCGACTTGATCTTCTCCGACCCAATGACTTGATATTGTACCAGGTCGTCAATCCTCACCATGCCAGAGGAATCCGGCGGAAGCAACTGATAAGTGATGTTGACATTGCACTTGCCCTTCCAAAGCGGCAGACTGGAGTGTGTGACATGCCAGGTGCCAAGCAGGAAGTCATTGGTCGGAGGCACACACTTACGACCCCGATTTGCATAGATTTTAGGGAGTCCGATAATGAGTGAAGAAGCCATGGTTGGGCTCAGTGTCGCGTGGGGTTCGCGATCATGAGATGACGATGGGAAAAGAAAAAGGGGGACTGGGCTGATCGATGAGGCAAATCCCAACCCATCATCCCGCAGATTGCTTACTTAACCATACAGCATGCTATTTATCAGTATGATATACTTAAGTATATTTCACCTCTTGCAGTCCAATGAATCAGCTACTGAACTCAAGCTACCACTCTGGCGCAACGGGATTTATACAACCATGTGGATTCAGTATTCAAGACATTGTCACGGCCACTGCATGCAATGACTTCCCACATGAACATGCCCTTCATGATGCTCAGAATTAACGCTTCAAGTAAAAATTATCCCGCCAGCTGCGCAGCTGTTGCCGGCGTTACAGACCCTCCACCAGTCAACTGCTTGGTCGGCCCGTTTAACCATCGGTTTGCGGCTGCGCTCGAGTCGTAATACAAGGTGTATCCAGCACTGTATACATTGCTCAACGTCCGGTCCGAGTCAGTGAAATTGTTGAGCACCGTGTCATTGGTCAACGTCCATGTGGATGTCACATCCAGTGAGACAGCAAAGGTCGAAATGCCATAGCCCGAGTATGCTGTACCTGTCCACGAGGAGTATTCCGTCAGCGACCAGCTGATACTGCTGCCATTGTACGCCACAAGGTCTCCCTCCACATCGGATTCGGATATTGTGACAGTTGCTTCAGCGGCGGCTGTAGAATCCGCGAAATAGCTAAAATCCTGTGTAACCTGAGAGTAATTGGCGACGACCAAGATGCCCGACGTGGTGTTGATGGACGTACTTGTCAAATGAGAGCTGGCGATAACATTGCCGAACCAAAGCGCTGCCGCCGCCTCAGGGAGAACCGTCAGACGAGAGTTGGTGAAGTTGATCTCCGAGCCAGACCCCCGTGTCCCAGATGAGAAGACCACTGCTCCCGCCAGCAGGCCTGCAGTAAGATCGGAATCGTAGATGTCAATCTGGGCGGTATCTAAGAAGGCAACGGGAGCCCGCTCGGCATACCCCACGATGTTCTCAGCATAGACGGTGCCCTGACCGTAGATGATGGCGCTCCCAATACCCGCCGTATGCGCGACGGAGTCGTACACATACACGTAGCCCTGGGGGCTGTCCCCGGCAAACGACGAAGATCGATAAGCCCCGGAGTAGTGCTCTAGATTCCGCCCTACAATGGTACCATAGCCTGCTGCATACAGGCCATGCGAGACTGGACCGGAGCTGTACAGGCTCGTGTCTGAGATGGAGACATAAGTATTGTTTCCATAGGAATAGATATTGGCTGCCCCGTTGTGCACTGTCACGTTAACGTGGTCAATATGTGCCACAGACTCGTTGGCCACATTAACAGCTGCGTTCAGACCAAAGAAACTGGACTGGTAGAGATCACTGGAGTACCCGTGCTTAACAATGGTAGAGTAGAAGACATTCACGTCTGATCCTTCGGTAATAACGAGGACACTGGTGTCATTAGCAGAGACAGCAAGCGTCCCATGCGTAATAGTATCAGTTCTATCAGAATATTCATAGGCCCCCACGATCGCATTGACTTGATAGGTGGTCGGGGTGTAGTCCCAATCCGCCGTCAATGCATCATCAGCTGCATCGGCGGCGAGAACAGCAAAGTCGCTGGAATCATGGAGGGTAACTGTGGCCGCGCCGAGGACAGCAAGGAGAAGGAGAGACAGCATTTTGAGTGCAAATGACCGAGAGGAATAGACAGTGATGCGCCGGATCGACAAATCCAGGAGAGGGCGTACCGAGATCCTTATAGGTACTTCCAATAACTCCAAGTTCCAAGCCCAGCCTTGCAAGCACTACTCCTACGGCTTATAAAGAGGATCACCGCGTCATCTCTTCATCACAAGCGCCATGATTGGTTATCGTTGATCGGATTTCTGAAAAGAGTCTCGAGGATGAGTACACACAGGGCCGCGTCTTCATTGTCGGCTCCACATCCCAATCACTTCAATCAAGCTTAATATCTCGGCAACTGAAATTGATCAGGACAATAGGAGCAGTGGTAGATTTATATGAGCTAGTCTTACGCAGGAGTTACGCCCACTCAAATTTATATGACAAGCATAACCCAGAAAGACTCACGTATTGGGGACGTGTAAAGACGTCTTCATTAAAAACCTTGAGGAGAGAAAAGAAAATGTTGGATCTTATTCCCAAATGTACTGCCGTGGGGCCGAAGGAAATATTGGTCATGTAGAGCCAAGTCAGGAATTTGTACCCCAGATACCGATGGCTTAAGAGGAAGTACTGCAAGGTAGCTAACAGAGCCATACTAGCAGGCGCTGGGGTCCTTGAACCAACGTTAAGCAAGCAGGAAAGTGTATTAACCACATCCACTTCTCCGCATTATTCCCCCACATCTTCAAAGTGGGCACTTCCACAGGGTCCTTCATTTGATGCAGCACACGTGGATAGTGCAAGTAATTCCACGATTACCTGGGGGAGGAATTCGAAGCACATGGATGGACCACGTCCCGACTTGATGTTGCGTCTGCCAAACAAAGGGGATATTGCACGCAGAACGCCTATATAAGCCACCATCGCAGGTCTCAAGAGCATGACTGGCAGTTTGTGGAGCAGTCTGTCGTTCGAAACCCACCAGACCAGAATCTGCATCCTATCTTCTTTTACCCTTATCATGCCTCGTCAGCCGTGGAATATCCTCATAGTAGGAAGCCTGCATCTGCTGCCAGTCTTAAATGCTGCGGCTACCTCATCTACCAGTTCTCTGCCTACCACCGCTGCCTACTATGTCAATGAAAGCACCAAGACGTTTGCTGATACGACTCTAACCGCCACCGGAACCGATGAAGCGGTGATAATTGTCAAAGAGACAGGAGTTGCTATTTTGTCTGACGTAACATTGATCAAGACCGGCAACACGACCAGCAGTGATGACAGCTCCTTCACGGATCTTAATGCCGCAGTCGGTCTGGAGACCAATGGCACGGTATATATCACCGACAGCAACATCACCACCAACGGCTTGAGTGCTAATGGACTACACACCTATGAAGACGGCACCACTGCCTACCTATCCAACGTGTATATTCACGCAGAGGGAGATGGTTCACATGGCATCTACACCGCTGGGGGAGCCATCTACGGCGAGAACCTTGAGATTTATACGTATGATGGCCATGGCAGTGCCATCGCCACTGACCAAGGCGGCGGCCTCATCGTGGTAGAAAATTCGGCTGCGTACACCTACGGTGCCCTCTCAGCATTGGTATACTCCACTGGAAATATTACAGTTCGTTCCCTTACTGGCACATCAGCCATTGCCCCTGTAGCATGCATTGATGGAGCAAACTCGTTTACCTTGACCGACTGTGACGTTTCCTCCGGAACTCAGAACAATGGTGTGTTTCAAATTGTGAGTACGGTATCGAGCAGCACAGCGGAAACTGCCTATGCTTATGTGAACGGTGGCACCGTATCTGAGACCAATGGCACCTATGCCTTGCTCTTTGTGGCTAACATCGAGGCCTATGTGTACCTGACCGATGTTTCCATCTCCATCAGATCCGGGATTCTAGCCAATATCACTGCTGACAGTGATTGGGGTACAACGGGAGAAAACGGCGGCACTGCCAATGTATATCTCTCGGGGATTGATGTCACCGGCGACATTTACGTGGACGACATCAGCGCGATCAAACTGTACCTGATCGGGTCAAGTTGGACAGGGGCACTGAATGAGGCGAACACGACGGGATCTGCATCTGTGTATCTGGATCGCAGTAGTACTTGGACACTGACAGGGGATTCGAATGTCGAGAGTATCAGCCGGGTGACTGGGTCCAGCATCTTTACTGGTCAATATCGAGTGTCCGAGGTTGCTTACGGGAAGGAATACCGCTGAAGAGAGGTGGTGATATGGCAGGTTGTCCTAATGTAATCAACTTTCAGGGGAGTAGCATTATAGCTCTGGAAGCAATGATATCCGGTGGTTATTATCTCCGGACTGTGGGCTGCATCCGTTGGGTCTGGGTTCGGAAGGCATTCGCCGATTGAAGGTCCGACCGGCCCGCAATATCCGACGGAGTACATTATTAAGTTAATTCTTGCTGTCTTCCCCGCACGAGAGGGCATTTAGACTTTCTGCAAATACCATCTGCAGCTCTTCTTCTTCCTGATCACGACTTAATTTCGTTGATCTTTTGATTTTCTCTCATCAAGCCCAATATCCGATATGCCGCAGAAGCTCACGGTCGCGGTGGCGCAAGCCAGCACCCAGTCCACCCTAGCAGCCACCTTGGCGGCCCTGGAGCGAGTAACTCGCCATGCTGCAGCCCGCGGGGTGCACTTGATTCTATTCCCGGAGGCGTATTTGGGAGGCTATCCCCGGACGTGCGACTTTGGCACAGCGGTTGGCGCCCGTGGCGCTCATGGTCGCGACCAATTCCTCGAATACTTCCATGCCGCGGTCGACTTGGGCGACACCCCAACCGGAGCTGGAGACGACTGGGTGAACCGGAGATTGCCCCTTCCACGAGGCAAGGAATATCGCGGGGATGGCACCCGAGAGGCTCTGGAGAAGATCTCCCGCGAAACGGGCGTGTTCATTGTGTGTGGCGTCATCGAGCGCGCCGGGGGTAGCCTGTATTGTTCCGCCATCTATGTCGACCCGCGCGATGGCGCCTTGGGCAAGCGTCGGAAAGTAATGCCAGTGAGTGAAGGCAACTTGTTTCTAAAAGAATGTGTTGATCATGCTAATCTGAGACTGATAGACAGCCTCGGAGCGTCTGATCTGGGCTCAAGGATCGCCTTCTACCCTCAAGGCTGTCACCACCGAACTTAAGGGGGTTCGGCTGACCATCGGAGCAGCGATCTGCTGGGAGAATTACATGCCGATGCTTCGACAGAGCCTGTACTCCCAGAATGTCAACCTCTATCTGGCCCCTACAGCCGATGCCCGCGATACATGGCTGCCGTTGATGCGCACAGTGGCTGCAGAAGGCCGTACGTTCGTTCTCTCTGCCAACCAATGTGTGCGACGCCGGGAACTGCCCGGATGGATCACAGCCAACTCCCAGGACAAACATAATGGCGATGAATATATATGTAGGGGCGGCTCCTGCATTGTCGGACCCCTAGGAGAAGTCCTGGGTGAGCCCATCTGGGAAGTCAGTACGGATGATGTGACAGACGCCGATGATCCCAATGATCCAGCCATGGCAGCCGCGCTGTCAATCACAGAGATCGATGTGGAGGATTGCGAGCGCGGCCGGTTGGATCTAGACGTGGCCGGCAGTTATTCACGCAATGATTCCTTCAAGCTGACCGTAGATGGGCTGGACCTGAACCCACCTCCAGTATAAGCTGTCAGTGACCCTTGCGAGTTTGATGTATATACCTTACCGCAGAAATGTAATAAGTTGTGGAAGATATTGTTCAGTTGAAGGGTGGACGCATCTGGAGCGGAGCAGGCAAAGAGCGAGAGCCAATGCCATTGCGATATACTATTAGGCTCACTACCATCAAGTAGCACACACCTTTGGATTGATTGCAGCCAATTCTCCTTTGAACTTTTCGATTCACTAATCCATGTAATGTCCCAAATAGGCAACCTGGCTCCATCACCTCGGACAGGTGACTTAGTCAGCCATTACATCAGCTGCAGCTAACCAGTTCCGGGAAATCTGCCTGGTTTCGTGGTTTTGATTGATTGGTAGCAATCAGCCTCATCTAAATTTACTTGCCATACACCCTTGAATCAGGGCTGCTGATATGTAGAAGCTCTTGGAGACACGAGTAGACACCTTCTTCAGCACCTTAGGATGACCCCTAGTCCGGCGCCTTCACCTCGTTTGGCCTGCCGACGCTGTCGTATTCGCAAACAGAAAGCAAGTCCCCCATCAGTACCAATTGAATCACATCCGCTAATGCAAGGGTCGCTATATAGTGCAGCCAGCCTCGACCATGCACCAATTGCGTGCAGGCAGAAGCAGGTAAGGCTGCCATGATCGTGCTGCTCTCTTTGATATTCTGTTCTGACTGACATGAATCAGCCTGTGTCCCTAGTCAACGGCCCGCTAGGAAGAGTCGCGTCAATCCAGAGTAAGCTGATCTCCAATCAGGCTGATGGCCAGGAAGCATGATTCTGATCACAATAGGTATGCTCGTGTTCTGGAGGAACGGATAATCGAGCTTGAATCTCAACAGCGCGGTCCCGCTCATCATGCTCTTGGTCTGGGCACCACATCAGGCCTGAGTAAGGCAGACATGCAACCAACAGGGTCACCTGAACCGCCACGAACACGAATGACTCGAGCCCTGACCGCAGAAGATGCAACTTCTCCGGCATGTCGCCTCTCGTCCCAAATCCCGGGAGATGCTGAAAGCACGCAAGCTGGAAGTACCCCTTCCGTTACTATCCTCCCCCCCGTTGTCCAAGGCTCTCCTCATTCAGGGTTTCTTCCCAGGACCAACTATGAAATGGAAATCCCTTCACAGACCCAGGATGAGTTGATCCAGACATTTCTTCAGCGGGTGAACCCGCGTTATCCCTTCCTCCACGAAGGAACCTTCGTTGCCTGGTATGAATCATGGAAAGAATCTAGGAACTTAGGTGTGCCCCTGCCGCCGCAAGAGCAATGGAAGGCATTCTTCATCAAGATGGTGGGTTATTCGCGATTCGCCTGCAGCGCATACTGACAGCTAGTGACAGGCACTTGCGGTTAGCCTTCTGATTGCACCTCGAGTATCACCCCGGGATATGAAAGTTTCTCAGGTAGGAGGATAGTGAAGTCGCAATGTGCCCCCACTGAAGATCACAGGCTCTGTATTCCTCCGCTACATCATCTCTGGATGCTGTGTTCGCTTGTCTTGACCCGGTATTGCATGCACAGGCCTACCTACTGTGCACACTGCATGCACTGCACTCGCCTTCTTCGCAAACGGTCTTGACCATGATCGCTGCAGCCGTGCGTTGCTGCGTGGTGGCACAGTTGCATTTGTCAGAAGTAGAACACCGGCCACAAGAACTGCTCTGGGAAAGGCAGATTCGACGCCGTGTGTTCTGGTCTGCTTACGCAATTGATCGCTTGGTCAGTTGGGTTTATCATGTCCCGTGCACTCTCGTAGATGAAGACATTCAAGTTGAGGTGAGATCTCGCTCGTAGCATAACAAAATGGTGGATCTGACTTGAATAAAACAGCCTTTTGCAAATATGAACGACCACGAGATCAAAGAATGGCAAGTCCGGGCTGATCGGCTGAAGCCGGATGCATCCACCCCGCGCAGGACTCAAGTCTCGTCTGCTCTTCATCTAATCCGCGGTCGGAGAATCCAGTCTCGCATCCTGAGCATTATGATGCGAGCAGACTATGACGAGCGACTTGTTGAATCTCATCAGTGGCGTCTTCATATGCTCGAGGTGCTCGATGAGTGGAAAGCGCAGCTGGAACCCCATAGCGACCCGCTCTCTAAGGGCTATACCAGTGAAGGATGGGTGGGCATGCTGTACAACTATACAGTGCTCCTCCTATATCGACCGACAAAAGCGAATATGACTAATTTGGTCATGAAGCATTGTATTGGAGCCTGTACCGACATTGCTCTGACATTCTGGAAGTACCTCAAGAGCCGTCAAACGGCTCAACTATGGCCGGGGGTGAGTAGCTGTCCCCATCATTGTCTCCCAGGATGGCAACTGAAACTCTTGTAGCTCCTTAGCCAGTTTGGGATAGGCATCACACTGTTATACTGCCTGTGGATGGTGCCTCCATCGCAACGATCCATTGAGGCTCAGCCACCAAACATTGGCCCAGCCATTCGAACGTGCTCAGTAATTCTGGCAGTACTGTCCGAACGGTGGACTGAAGCTGAATTCTTGCGGGACATTTTTGATCTCCTGGCCGACTCTATTCCGATCTATTGGTCTCATGATGGAGAAGAAAGCCGCATTTCGACGTCTTCGGCAAAGACAATTCAGGGATATTTGCCCCGAGTGACGGCCATCGTCATCAACAAAGACATCATGCGCATGCTTCTTGAGATGGCCACTGAGGATTATCCGTGGGCTGCAGGTGGGACGGTGAATGTGGGTGACTGGTCGTCTAATGATGTGCACAGCGCCCAAGATTGCCCTCTATGCTTGGGAACCCGAGCACACCAAGCGGACTTGCCTTCGGTCGGCTTTGACGCAGTGAACCTGTGGCCAGGCTTTGATAATGATACGGATCACTCCTTGACAGCTTTGTCTGGGGAATACTCGCTATTCCCGGGACTGCTGGGCTCGATCGAGTTTTGATCCTTCGATCCTTCAGCTGATGCACTGGTTAGTTATGCAGCCTGATTACTAACTGACCTGCATAGCATGACAGTTACTTTAGACCCCCTTTTGGATTCCCGCTACTTTGACTGTTTGAACTCTTCTGGCTTGCATATCCTAATGAATCTGGTCCACCCTCCATCTATGAAACTGTCTCCTCCGGCAGAGGACGATTTCGTCTTCGTAAATGTCTCGCGTCCCGACGAATTCAAGTCTGCATCAACACAGCGCACCATCCGGCGCCGTGTCATGCGCGACATTGGGAGATCGCGTCGTCGCACCCGCCCGGGGCAACGAACTTGGTCCGTCACCCTAAGAGCCCCTTCTGATCCAGTCACAGAGCACATCCCAGTGTCGATTGACCCATGCAATACGACGCTTTATCCCGGCCCTATGAGCGACCGAGCGCTACAGCTCATGCACTTCAGTATGCCCCTGGAAATATCAGCGCCTCCTCGAGCTTACCTATCTGACCCGCGTAGTGACTACGGACCGCGACTACGTGTTTCGTCCGTTTCGGACGGTATGGTTTTCCATGGCATTAACTGACGCCACTGCCGTCCTTGTGGCCTTGGCCAATGCTGCCATGTTTCTAGATCAACGTCTGCGGGCCCAGACGTACAGGTATGAGACTAGTGCGGAGTGTCTGAGTTACTACGGCCAGTGCGTCCGGCAAGTTACGCACCGGCTGGCAGATACCCATGAGAGTCTCAACCAAGGGGTTATCACGGCCATATTAGGTCTGACTTGTCACGATGTTTGTCAACCGCCGGACTTTATCAATGGATAGTTGTTAACTCAGCAGATAGCTCTATGTGGGCACGCTAGGTCGCTGGAAAATTCATATTAGTGGCCTGGGACGTATTATCCACTTGAGGGGTGGATACCGGGGCCTAGATGACATTATCACCCGCTTCGCTATTTGGTAACCTTCTAATCCTGTCGTTGTTTTATCCATCTATGAGCTAACTGCTCCGCATCAGGCTCGACGTTGCGGGTAGCGTGATGGAAGACTCCCGCCCACGGTTGCCTACTCCGCCGGGATTTGCATCCCAAGTCCCCAATATTCTGTCTCCCACTCTTGGGAAACTTCTTGGGAACCTTGTTGCAAGATATGATTACTACAGCGACATCACGACAGCCTTCAGTTATGCGAACTTTATTGTTCAATACACGGACGGGTCCCTTCGTCGTTCTGAGACAACCTGGCTAAACGAGGATAACCTCACTGTAATTGAACTGTTTGGGCCAGCCACACATTTCCTACTTTGCATGTCGAGGCCGACCGAGATAAACTCTAGCGCAACAGACATACCAATTCTACAGCTACGCGAAGCACTCCGGCTGGTGCTATTACTATTCCTTGGCACGTTGAAGCAAGCAGTCTTCCTCTTTACCGCCCACGAATGCGAATATCTGTGGTGCAAGTTGTCGACGCTCATTTCACAGATTGAGAAGGCCAAATATGACGACTCTTGTCTTAAACTGTATTTCTGGGTTCTCGTCACAATGTCTCGATTCTCTCATTCTATCCAGTCATCGATGTACCTTGACGATATCAGTGCTGTTCTGAACCTCCTAGGCATGGGTAGGAAGGAAGGCCTAGATCTGGTCCAAAGTATTCTGTCCATTAACATTCTGGATGGCTATCTACCTTTTCTCCCAGCGCTAGAGACCTCAGGTTCATAACCATAACCATCGCACTTCTAGCCACCTACAATTCCACCACTGACGGAAATGACCTGTCCGGAGATCCAGCGACTCTTTTCTGAGCACAACAACAGTACTGCATCCGCAATATCCTGCACAGTTCCCAGTCGCTCCTCGACTCGGCTCATGGGCACCAATGTCTTGTTGATCTTTTCTGCCACCTGCGGCGGCAGACCATCTGTATCCACCGGACCTGGGGAAACTGTGTTGATGGTTATGCCACCGTGATTGCGACCAAGCTATGCACCAATTAGTACATTCCTTATGTGAGATCTCAACCACGGTTCCAGCTTACCTCCATCGCAAGGGAGAACGTCAGCGCATCCATCGCCGCCTTTGAAGCACTATAGACTGGCGATCCTGAGATACCCAACTTGGACGCCACCGAACCGATGTTAGTGACCCGACTTCGTGGCGGCATGTGCTTCACTGCTTCCTGCATGACGTAGATTGGACCAAAGACGTTGACGGTGAAGGTGGTCGCTAGAGCTTCGGGAGCAGCGCTGAGTACCGGTCCCGGAGTGCCAGTAGCGGCGTTGTTGACTGGTCCAAGTTAGCAAGCGTCAGAGCCTGGGAAGTGGAGATTTTCGTGAACAAACCTAGGATATCAAGCCTTCCAAAGGCATCAACCGCTTTTTGAACAAGTTTCTGCGCTCCGTCAGGCCGGGAGATGTCAGCCTGGATGGCTAGGGCCTGTCCGCCCGCGGCGGTGATGCTCTCCACCACGGTGGCAGCGGAAGGAGCCGTGGACAGCGAGACATAGTTGAGAATGACCGCTGCACCATGATGAGCTAGAAGATTGGCAATGGCCGCGCCGATGCCTCTCGCTTTGCCTGATTCAGTAACAAGAGCTACTTTGCCTTGAAGACTAAGAGAGGAATCGGATTGGGGCATTGTGAATGAGCGATGATGTTGGGGATAATGGGAATCAGAAATCTGAGGGATCAAGGTGCCTTTTATGTCTTGCCAGCGGATATTTACGAGAAGGGAACAATGTAGAAGTGAGAGATTTTCCTGCCCTCCAGCATGGTGACATTCGCCGCCAGAATCCTGGAGGCTATACACGATTTCCCGATTTGGCAGACGGTCCCTGGCCCCTGCGGCTCACTCTGGCACTAAGCTGGATGCAGTTAGTGCTGATAAGTGGATATAATATAATACTGATCATTGGGTGGAAGATGTTGTCATTACTCCTATTCCTATTCTGGCTTAGCACCGCTCCGTTGAGAAGCTGGAGAGAGGACTCGGCAGAGGGCATCTTGGATTCATTCTGACACTAGATATGATACAACAAAAATCTCCTACATACCGGTTGACCGAGGATCACAGCTAAATCATTCAGTTGCTGTCACGATTGTCCGCGACTGCTGCGTCTGGTATCCGGTCGTGTCGAATTCCACGCTACCACTACTGCTTTGGCTCAGGCTGCTGCTCTTCCGCAACTCTTCGGGCTCATTTGTGACGTGGAACTGGCGATGCTTCCAAATCTCCAACGGCTGCTCTCGAGTAATGTACTCGCCGGATTCGGTTGGGTCGATCGTAGACCGGCCCTGGGACTTATCGCCGGCGCGGAAGCGGGATAAATGGATGGTCGAGCTGTCCAAGCGACTGGTGTATTTTCCATGGCTGCGGTCGTATGACGAATGGGCCAGGAACGCCCGCCAATTAAACAGTCGGCGAAACAGAGTCCAGGTTTGAGGAATGTTGGCCACGATCACTGCTGTGGCAGCCTCGCGGACGTACCAGTCCACCCATTGGTCGCCATATGGATTAGACAGGGAGTAGTACTTGGACAGAATTGAGCACAGAATCACAAAAGCACCCAGGGAGAAGACTGCGCAAAGCGTGACCTTCTTGGCCAAAGTAAGTTTCGCCTTTACCAGCAGGGGTAGCGGAATGGCCATGATCATCAGGTCAGTTGAGATATTCAGTGTGAGTACCAAAATCAAGTGATTGCGATAGACGGAACACTGGAGGTTCTTCGGCGGCACGGACCAGTATGCGGAAAAGGGACGACACCAGGCGGCAAAGAATAAGATCTCCACAATGACGAAGCTAAGGGCACAGAAGGCACCGATGATCTTCACGATCCGATGCTGCGAGAGTCCGGAGCTAGAAAACAATCAGATGCTGTGTCACAGATTTCACGCAAGGCAAACCCACGTCATGGTTGAATACAGGAGCAGCAGGCAAGCCTTGCAACCCCAAATGGTGGCTAGCCACATCTGCTCCACCACAATGACCAGCTTGCTACCTGTGATGCGGTCTGGGATGGAGGAGGGCTCGATGTCACCGAATTGGTCTCTGGGGATCTCGTTGGTGCCATGCTTTTGCACTTCAATCAAGAACACGGTCAGCAAGATGTAGAAGACCTGTTATGGCTGTGAGTCATGGGGCCGTTATTTGGATGACAAATTAAAGGTCAAGCGTACAACAGTAAAGCACATCAACAAGTCCTCGAGTTGAAGATGGCGGGGCACTCCCATCTGCAACGTTCGGGAGACATAGCGCAGTAGGGCTGTCACGATAGGCGATCAGCACTGATCAGCATCCTGTCAAGCCGTTTTCCCCGACGATCACTTACTGACTAGCAGCACCACCGCTAACCACACCCAGGTGTTGGCGCTCGACACCATGTTCTGAAAAGACAAAAAAGTTGCTTTTTCAGAGAAGTACCGGGTGTGATCTGTTAGGCTGATGGCGTAGTAGAAGGCACCCCAGGTGCCTGGCTCCTTTTAGCTGTTACAGCTTCTGCTGACACTTGCTAGAGCTAACAAGAGGACAGCCAATAGCACGCCGGCCGATTGTATAGCCTCTCAACGGGAGATGGGAGCTTCCATTGCGTGTTAAGGGGACGTAGGCAACAACCGGGAGCTGTGTCTTGTAAGTACTGCTTTACGAGCTCCTGTGCCGCTCGTGACAATAAAACCTCCGATTCCCCGAAGCAGCCTTGAAGCCCAGTGGGGCCCACCTAATTCTCAAAGGGGTTATTTCGCGCGTGCATACGATTGCTGGAAGTCCTTCCCTCGAGGTTCCATCCTTGCTTCCATATGTTTGAGGCGCCCGTGGCTCCGGGGCCGATCGCGGCAATCAAATAAGTCAAGGGAGAGTGAGACTCTGGTGTAACTGCCTTATTGTCGATGTCGTTCTCGGGATGTTTTCTACTGAAAGGATAGCCTTTTCTAAGGTTGATCTGCTGATTGAAATGTCGCCTTCTACTGAGTCTTTCCTTCCCCTGCGCAGCTGAATATTACAAGGGGTAAGGGTGTAGCTGCGCGGATAATTCTCATGGCCAAGGAAAGCGGCCTATTGACACAGTCGTGTTAATAAGCCCACTCTGGAACGGCCCAGCTTGTAGTACCGTTCCAAAGGCATGGGAATTAAGATCGGAGCGGGAAACTTTGCGGTGAAAATTCTGTCAACCCGTCCACCAGTTCAGGACACGCGCGGGTTCCTATGACTGCTGAGGGTGAAAGAGTTGTTACTATGATCATTGTATGCGGCCCAGAAAATGTTCAGTCAAGTCGCATGGGTTGGAAAAGTGGCTTGAATGCAGCGACAGTGTAGAGCGCTGCTGCTTGGTTTTTTGAGCTCGTGTAGCGAACCCGAATAGTGTCACTTCGGGCACTGTCCGGTGGCTGATTCCAGGGCAGAAACTGGACCAGCCGGCCGAACGGGCCAACTGATACGATCCAAGGTCTCAGCCGAAAATCTTATCTCTAACCAGTCAGCGGTAGGACGTCTCAGGAATAGAAATTACCTGCTGTCGCCGTTCCATGGGTCACTACCGCGCTCATTCCGACCTCGTTCACGGGAGGCACCACAACCTCAATGGCCTGTCCACAGACTGGTGGAATCACCAGCGAAGAGCAACTCCCGTAGCAAATGTGAGAAAAATTACCTCCACCAATGTCCAAAAAATCCAGATGCTATTGACGTGGTTGGTCCGTTCGGCACAATGGACAGACAACTTTTCTGGGCAGACTTGTGGCGTATCGACTGCGCTATGAATGTTACCATTTGTGTGAGTGTGGTATGTCAACCCTGAAGTCCCTGGGGGGTTGAAACTCCCACTAATCACAGGCAATATAGACAAACAGGATCCAAGTATAATGCCAGCTTTGTACTCCTCTTTCTAGGCCGTAGCCGGATACTGGGGAAATTGAACTCGAAGCGCTCCTCGAATTTACACCATAATCACTCTATTTCTCACAAGACATAGGAACGCATACTTTATATGTACTGACGCTGTCATACCAAGATTGGCCTGCCAACCATGATCTCTAAGCATGTTCTCAATAATGCCATTATATCCGGATTGGTATTCCTTGTGCTCGATGTAGCATCAGATATCTATCATATAGTGGACTTTCAACTGGTCAAGATCAAATCCCGGTCCAGTTTACCTGATAGTAAAGCCACCGTCTACGCGAATGTCCGCTCCATTGATCATTCCACCCGAGTCCTGTTTCACGAATCAGAACAAAGCGAAATACCACTCAATTATTGAGTCAGCTGCGTACCTGACAAAGAAACAAAACCGCATCCGCAACCTCATCTGGCTGCGCAAACTTGCCTGTCGGGATCGTCTTCAAGAAAGCCTCCCGCACATCATCCTGCCCCCAGGCCTTCTGTCCCAGAGCGGTCCAGGCCACTGTTGGAGACACGCTGTTCGCTGTGATACCGCGGCCTCCCCATTCAGAAGCCATACTGCGCGTTAGCCCCAACAGGGCTGCCTTGGAGGCACAATAGGCCCCGTGGCGATGGAGGGCCACATGTGCGGCTTGCGAGGCCAGGTTGACGATGCGACCCGGAGGCGGCGGGTTGGGTGACGAATGAGCCATCTCAGCGGCGGCCAAGTACAATCGCGCGAATGCCTGCGAGCACAGCATGGGGCCCAGGACATTGGTATGCAGATGCTTCAGCGTTTCTTCCGGGGGGGTGAGCTCTAGATCACTGAGTGATACATAGCCCGCCGTATTAACTAGGATACTGGGGAAGGCACGGGCAGACTGCGTCGTCGATGATGGGTTGAGAACGTCCTCCTTCAGGGTGGTGAAGACGGACTGGACAGCCTCGGGGTTTGTGATGTCGCATTCATACGTTCGGGTTTCCTCGCCCGCGGGCAGCTCGCCGTAGCCAGCCTCTAGCAGCTCATCGCGTCGGGCAGCCTCGAAGGGGGCATACAGAATAGCTAGCCGAGCACCTTGTTGGCGGAGCTTCTTGCCGATACTCGAGCCCAGGCCGCCTTATCGGGGACAGGCAGTCAATACCCAGCACGGGAATGTAACGAGGGTTGAGGCAATGCCTACCTAGGCCACCGGGGAGGATGGCGAGCCGACGCGCAAAGGCCATACTGTTGTTGCGCCAATGGTGGAGCAGTCAGGAAGTATATAGGAAGCCAACAAGAACCCGGGGTGAGGATGCACTGACAACTACGGTTCAGATGGTTCCTGAGACGCGTGGAATCTCCCCGCACCGGCCAACCAGGGATGTGACGTCATATTGCATGTGCGTAGTCGACACGGCGACGAAGGATCTGGATGGATTCAGTATGCCGGTTGAACTGCATGACTCTTGAATCGGACCCCACGCAGTTGATGTGAAGCTGGGGAAGTTCCTATTACCCGTGTCAAAATCCTTCTGTGGAGGAAAACCCAGCCGGGAATGTGAGATGCCCCCACGGTTTTAGAACCACCAGGCTGTGCTCGTGCACAACCTGGAACAGAGACGTGCGGAAACTAGGTTTGCAAACGACCGGACCACGCTTGAAGAGCGAATTGACAAGGCCCGCTGGCGAGAACAGGGAAAAGTTGGGTCTCACACCAGGCCGGTGCCTTCTATCTGCCAGCAAGGAGAGACTACTCTCATTTACTAGACTGGCACCTACCACGAACCGGGGACCTATTCAACGACGCAGTTACACACACTCCATTTAGTAGGTTAGAGGCATCCCCGGGATTGCTACTCCCCCGGAGATTGCAGACCAGTAGGCTGGTGGAAGGGGGAGGTGTGAGGTGCCTTGATCCCCAGTATCGGGGAACTGAGACGAGCAATAGGTCTATGTGGATCTAAGTCTATGCGCATCGCGTGAAAAACGAAGAGCTGCCTACACCATCGTGCCTTGTCATGAGCGAGAGGCCAGAGGGTTTCTCGCCAGTCACGATCTGCCCTTCACGATGTTAAGCACATCTTCTAATGTCTCCGCAGTGTGATCCGGTTGTAGCCGTTGGCACTCCTCAACGTCGCCCTGACCGTACCGACACCAGCACACCTGTGCTCCAATGTTTCTTGCGTATAGGATGTCCGTCAATGTGTCTCCAACCATCAGCACGCGCTCCGCCTCCACAGCATCGGGCGCCCCGAGAGCCTTCCAGTTCGGCCAGAGCACGTCTGTGAAGCTGGACGGATCCGGCTTGCGCTGGACGCCGGCCACACCATGACCCAGGATGAGGGAATCTGGAAAGAACTGCAGCAGGTCGGTCTTCTCCAGGGCCGCCTTCACTGCGACCGCAGCTTTGTTGCTGATGATGGCCATGGGTTGATTCCGGTCGTGCAAGGCTTGTAGGACGTCGCGAGCGGCGGGATAGGGACTCGTACGGGATTGGCCATGGATAGCATACAGCTCGCGGTAGGTGGGGATCCAGAGAGACTCGTCGAAGGTGGTGGGATCGGGGTGTAGACTGCGAAAGGTGTCCCCGGGAGGCGCGCCGGTGGAGACGAGCGGGCGAATGTCGCTGGACGAAGGCGGAGGATGGGAGGGCAGGAGGCGTTGGAAGGTCAACTGGATGGAGTGCTCGATGGCATCGTAGGTGTCGAACAGGGTGCCGTCAAAGTCAAAGATGACGAGCTGGTACGGCATAATGATGCTTGCTGCTGGTGGTGTTTTATTCTAAGTTGAGTATGTTCTGCGAAGATCCAATTTTAACTTCTTTTTCTTCTTTTTGACTCATTCCCCCATATTGCACCAGCCACCTCAACCACTCTTGGAGGTGGCGCAGAAAGTATCAGCCACACCTGGTCTGCCAAGTGCCAACACGGTAGAGGTGTTTTCATTTATAAATGTGGTTATCTTTGCCTTTCCTCCCATCAAGATATTCTAGGTAGAAGAAAAAAACCTAGGTGTTTTTTCGGGATCTTTGCCCAATTCAGCGAGCGAATAGCGTGGCCCTGTTTGTCCCTCAGTCCAACAGTTATATATAATCTCAGCCAGTAGCTGCCCACCCAATAGTTGTATTAAGAAACAGAGATACACATCTCGTTCATCTTCAACATTAGAAATAGGGCGGAATCGAAGTATTCCCATCATGATACGACTACCATCAATCAAGCTACCTTGGAATGAAAATATATAAAATATCTCTACATAGGCCTTGTGGTCGGGAAGAATGTCGATTTCGGACCCGGAATGTACAACTCCAGTACTATCTACTTGTTCTAGCCACTACCAACTGACAGATCTCAACAGATCAATTGGAGTCTGCATTAATTCCCTGAAGTTGCTAGCTGGCTACTGAGTTGTTCGACCTCATTTTGTTCATCAAGACTTCGATTCCAGTGGAAGTGGACTCGCCGCCCTCCATGCTTCATTTGTCGACCATATAATGACTGTACCATCTACCTAAAGTGATAGCCTGAAGTAGAATATTCATCCTACCCTTGAACAGCAAGTCTAGAACGGCCATAGACTCTCCTACCAAGCAACGATGAGATAAGCCAAAAGGAACGAAGTCGCCGAATTGATTGCAGATTCGGCGACGGCGCCCCACCATGCAGCCTGCAGCCTTCCATCCTTCCCGGCACTATATAGGGTTGGCCTTGATGGATCAAAGCCACAGAAAATCTACCAAGTCCTCAGACAAGCAAACACAGACTTTCATTCCTTCTGAATCTCCAACACGCTTCCTCCGAGCAAAACGGCAAAGACCATGCAGCCCATCACTCTCTACTCGCACCCCATCGGGCCTAATCCGTGGAAGGTCGCCATCATCCTCTCCGCTCTGCGCATCCCCTACGAAACGATCATGGTTGACTTCACCGAGGTGAAAAAGGAGCCCTACATGAGCCTCTGTCCCAATGGACGGCTGCCAACCATCGTGGATCCCAACAAGAACATCACCCTGTGGGAGTCAGGCGCCATTGTGAACTACCTAATTGAGACCTTTGATCCGAGCCACCAGCTGAGCCATGAGACATTTCCCGAACGCCACCAGCTGCAGCAGTGGCGGCATTCCCAAGTGTCCGGGCAGGCGCCGTATTACGGACAGCTAGGCTGGTTCCGGCGGCAGCCCGAGCAGGTGCCCCAGGCCATCGAACGCTACACGGCGGAAATCCGACGCGTGATGAGCGTGCTGGACCGGGTGTTGACGGACCGCGAATGGCTTGTGGGAGACAAGTGCACGTATGCAGACCTCTCCTTTGTTCCCTGGCAGGATCTGGTGCCGTTGGTGGTCGGGGACCAGCGCGTGGTGCAGGAATTGACCGAGCATTTTTCCCACGTGGAGGCGTGGATGCAGAGAATGAAGGCGAGACCAGAGGTACAGAAAGTGCTGAAGGAGAAGAGCGAGGCGATGGCATCGAATTAGGGACAGCATGTAAATACATGGGTCGGATAGATAGAGACCATCTCATGGGTCTACGATTTTAGACTCGCCGAAATAGTGGATCCTTCCCCGGGCCCCTCACCAGGGCATCGACTCTTGGAAATAGCTGGAGTTAGAAGGAAAGTGTTCCAATTTCACGCCGAACTGGCAATAAATCAAACAGCTCAAGAGAATGTCGAGGAAGCATTTCTACATCCTGAGTACCGGAGACACGCGAACGTAGAACAATCCCGGGGGGAAGCGGTTTCAAACAGCGTCGGCGAACTAAAGATCAAGTCCTTACAGAGCATATCACCTAGACATGCATTGAGATTATTGATAGTCGATGGGAGCCCCACCGAAAGCATCCGATCTTGCCGGACTATGTCTTTTTTATAAAGCGACCGAGTATCGGTGTGCTTAAGATGATGAAGCAAATCAAATGCTACCGTCATAGCCATCATGCGATCCAGTAGCTCGGACAGCAGTGAACCCAAGACGGTCGCTCTACCCTCATCGTCACTGCCTCTATGGGAAGATGATCCCGCTAATGCTCAGAACTGGAGTCGTTCCAAAAAGATTTACAATACTGCTGTGCCGTCGCTTCTTTGTCTGTTGATGTGAGTTCACGCACGCGGAAATGGAGACGCCTTCCATAGACGACTGATACTGATCATAACATTGCATTGTTGATAGATCGTTCGCGCTGGCTATCTACTCTCCTTCCCACAGCCATGTTCAAGAAGCCTTCCACACCTCGACTACCAAATCTCTGGTGCCCTTCGCTATGTACGTCTATGGCCTGGCCTTCGGGCCCATGATTGCAGCTCCCATCAGTGAGACCTACGGTCGTCGTTTCATCTACCTCGTCATGACCCCCATTGCTATGCTTTTCATCCTCGGGGCGGGCATCGCTCACAACCTCGCCACTCTCGCTGTGTGTCGCTTACTGGCGGGGATGTTCATCTCTGCGCCCTTGGCCGTTGGGGCGGGCACAATCATGGACGTCTGGAGCGGACAAGCTATCGGGCGCGGTGTCACCCTACTCATGACCACTGCCTTCCTTGGCCCGGCCATTGGATCGCTGATTGGGGGCTGGATCGCCCAGTATAAGGATTGGCGCTGGTCGCAGTGGACATCGCTATTCCTCGGGGCAGCCTTTTGGATCTTCAGCATGGGGGCCCAGGAGTCCTATGCCCAGCCCCTGATCCGTCGCCGTGCTGCTAAACTAGGACTCCCAGTTCCTCCCAGCCCAATTCCACCGGGCTGGGCTGGGTTCCAGATGATGCTCACGGTGACTTTGGCACGACCAGTGTATATGATCTTCACCGAGCCGATTGTGAGTCTGTGCTCGATGTATTCGTCCCTCAACTTCTCTGTCTTGTTCTGTTTTCTCGCCTGTGTTCCGCTCGTTTACACCGATGTGTACGGCTTCACCCCGGGCCAATGCGGACTGGTTTTTATTGCGTTGGCCCTGGGTTGTCTGCTTGGAAGTGTCGGGCTGTTGGTGGCGGACCACTATACATTGGCGCGGCATCTCCGGCTTCATCCGGGAGGAGGGATAGCCCCGCCCCCAGAGCGCGTCTTGTGGGCTGCCATGATTGGCGGTCCGTTGATGCCAGCTGCTCTGTTTTGGTTTGCCTGGACCTCGACCAGTCATGTGCACTGGATGAGCAGCATCGTCGCGATCGGTCTTCTCGGCTGCTCCAACATTATGGTATTCGTGAGTTGGCAGGTCGTCTCACTCGACATTGAAATCCGAACGCTGACCCTATTGTCTGCCGCAAGGTATCTACTGCCCTCTACCTCACCCGGGTGTATGGTGCCAAGTTCGGAGCTTCTGCGCTGGCCGCCAATGGCTTACTGAGATACGGCATTGGCGGCTCATTTCCTCTTTTTACGGTAGCCAGTAAGTCACTCGTATAATTCCCCTTCCTACTCAGCCACTAAGAAATGGTCACACCTCTAGTGTATCATAACTTGGGCTATAGCTGGGCATCTAGCTTATTGGGGTTCTTGGCCGCTGCTTTTGCGCCTCTGCCCTGGTTGTTCTTCCGTCTAGGAAGTCGCATACGTGCGCATAGCGCTTACACTTCGACCTGAATCATGCGAGTGAGGGAATTTGTATAGAAGAGCTGTGAAGCCCTGTTCGACAAATCTGTGCGAGAGTCCTGGCCTCCTGGAAGGGATCTAGGTTAATTAAAATCAAATCATCGATCCTGTAGTATTGAAGATAAACTGATAAATTCGGCGTTTTCTGATGTTAACATCTTAAACCTTTATTTGAGTGGCTCGCTCCTTACTATGCCAGTATATTAACGCGAGATTGTATCCCTTAATAATCTTCTGCCTGATACAACGTAGCTACTATATCTATGAGACCCACTTCATCCCCACTATCGTGATGAACCCTCGATTCAAATGCATTCATCCACTGACGCTTTGTCATCCACAGCTTTGTCTAGACCGGATGCACTGCTGTGGCACTGATACGTTTTGAACTCTCGCGCGGGCACTCGCGCCATAAACATCTCGTCAATCTCCAACGAACGCCGTTTTGTTTCCGGTACAAACATCCAGACAAACGCCGCCGCGACGATGGACAGTGCGCCGTATATGAAGGCAACCTTACCCCCAATAGCAGCCTGAGTGTAGGGATTCACAAAGACGATAACCAGACCGGTGCCGTATGCCGAAAATCCCGCCAGCGTAACCATCTTCTCGCGGACAGCGGTCCCTGTGGGTGGAATTTCGGCGGTGATTGCCCAGGCCAACGGGCCCCATGTGCTCTGGAAGGTAAAGAACCAAAGCATGAGCATGACTACCACAGCGATGGAGAGGGAGGATGAGGATGTGGAAGGAGTGGTGAGGCCGCCAATGGTTAGCATACAGGCACCGAGGAGGCCAGATGCCGGGAGGAGCACGTTGCGACGACCCAGCCGGTCAGCCATGAACATTCCCGTCAAATTGCCAATTATGCCGATGATATAGACAATCACCGACATCAACAAAACCTGGCGGAAACCGACCTGTTCCAGAAAAACGGCCTGATAGTTGGCCACGAAGGAGATTCCCTGGGCTTGCTGGAAGATCTGTGCGCCCACAGCAATGAGAGTGTGACGGAAGTAGACGGGATCTGTGAAGCAAGCCATCCAGGATGCGAGCTCCTTCTCTTGTTGTTGTTGGTGTTGCTGCAGGACGAGTTGTTGTTCGATGGAAAGGATTTCGGCCTCAGCGGCAGCGGCGTCCAGGGCATGCAGCCGGCGCAGGCTGGCGATGGCGGCAGCACGACGGCCACGACGGAGTAGCCAGTAGGGTGATTCAGGAAGGAAGGGCAGACTCAGCCACCCCATGGCGGGAATAGCTACTTGCGCCACCACAACACTGCGCCAGGCCCAGTCGCTCGGCACATGACGACAGAAATAGACGATAAGGGCGGCACAAAAGCCGCCTACCATCAGGAAGGCATTGTATAGACTCGTCATCATTCCTCGGAGGTGCTGAGGTGCGCACTCCCCTTGGTAGACCGGAATGACCGTCGAGGCGATGCCACCGGCGAAGTAGACGACTGCCTTGCCCACGAGAAACTGCGCGTAGCTGTCCTGGCAGGATGCTTCAATGGCGACTCCGGCAGTCACCACCGCCGATTGCACCCAGAGGCTGTTCCGCCGTCCAAGCCGTTCGTTGAGAGGTGTTCCGCACACCAGCCCGAGGATGACTCCTACATAACCCAGACCCGTGCCGAGGGACTGTTGTCGATTACTGAGGGACCAGGCCTGTTGAGCCGGGTCATAGGAGCCAAAGTGACGGTTAAACTGCGTCAAGCTCATCATACTTGCCCACCAGCCCTGATCGAAGCCAAAGCCCGCGGATGAGACGGAGCCGAAGATAGCCACGACCCAGATGAGCCAGGGGAAACCCCGTGAAGGGTTGGAAGATGACATGCTTGGAAGGATAAAAGTCTAAAGACAGAGCATAGACAGGTTCCCTCGCCAGCGCAGTTCTTGATTAAGCTAGAGAATTTGTAGACTCTACTTCTATTCTACGCGAGAGGGAAACGCTACCAGCTTTAAGTCATGCTAAATACGAGCATAATCGAGCTTGGCCTACAAGCAAACTCTCAGTGCTGATTTTAGCGTTTCAACAATCATCCTTTACCTCCATAGGGGCTTACTGGAAGGGAATATTGGGTGCCTGGTAATGACCAGAGTCGGAGCAACTTGATACCTCGTTGGAGCTCGAAGGAAGGGAGACAATTCCCCCGCGGGGAAGGACTTCCTGAGAGGTGGGTCATGTTCGTGGCAGGCCCATGAAAAGAACCAGATACCCATGCGAGGGCGGGTTCAACACGAACCTTAGTGTCACGTCCATGCCAGTCAAACCCTAACCTTTGAGCCGTGGGGGCTGAAGGCCTCATACCATGTTCCAAGTCGGGATCTTGTCCGCGAGAGGCAAACCTGTATGGCGGGCCCAGTGGACCCGGCGGACCCACTAATTCGGCGACTGATTCTCCACTATATCGCCGGGACTAATAGGGCATCACCAGTGAAGCATCTTCATACAGTAACAGATTCGGTTTGTCACACCGGAGGACTCGAGGAGGAAATCCGGACAGAAAGTCCATATTCTTCCCCGTGGGGGCGGGAGTGTAGAGTCGTAGAGATGCAAAGTGGAGTGCATGGGTGACCAGAAAAGAACAATTACCCTCTCCTTCCCCCGATCTCTGCCAACAGTATCCCCAAGATCAACCATTTCTGGGATTTCCATACCGATCTGCTGCTCAACATGCCTCAGGAAGAAAGAGCATCCTCCCATGTGCGCCAACTGCTCCAGTCTCTTACGCTGGAGGAGAAAGTGGCCCTCCTGGCGGGCAAGAACATGTGGGAAACCATCAACATCGGCCGCCTACACATCCCCAGCCTGAAGATGACGGACGGACCAGCCGGTGCCCGGGGCTCCAAGTGGACCTACGGCTCCCTGACCACCTGGATACCGTGCGGAATCTCCCTGGCTGCTACCTTTGATCCGGCGATGGTAGAGCAAGTTGGAAGGGTGTTGGGCCAGGAGGCACGCCGAAAGGGCTGCCAGATCCTGTTGGCACCCACCATGAACCTATCGCGCTCGCCCCTAGGTGGTCGAAATTTCGAGAATTATTGCGAAGATCCCTATTTGGTCGGAGTGACCGCCACGGCGATGATCCGAGGTATTCAGGCACAGGGAGTGGGCGCGTGCATGAAGCACTTTATCTTGAACGATACTGAGACGCGGCGATTCAATGTTGACCAGACCATTGATGAACGCACCTTACGCGAGGTCTACATGAAGCCGTTCACGATGGTTCTCGACGACCCGGCTAGCACGCCTTGGACGGCCATGGTTAGCTATCCCAAGATTAACGGCCTGCACGCCGACATCAGCCCACATATTCTTCCTCGTCTACTCCGGCAAGAGCTGCAATTTGATCGTCTGGTCATGAGCGACTGGGGTAGGCTGAATAGTACAGCCGACAGCCTGCGCGCCACAACTGATCTCGAAATGCCGGGTCCAGCCGTCCGCCGCGGAGAACGCTTGCTGGCTGCCATTCGAGCTGGGGAGGTCGAGGCGGCCGCGCATGTCGACCCGAGTGTCCGCCGCTTCTTGCAGCTCCTGGAGCGCACAGGCCTGTTGGGAGACGCTACAGAGGCCACCGAACACTCCGAAGCTGCTACGGATGATCCCATCTTTCACCGAATCGCGCGCGATGCAGCCCAAAGTGGGCTCGTCCTGCTCAAGAATGACAAGGCCATCCTACCTCTCAAGCCGACCACGCTGCAGCGAGTCGCCATCATTGGGCCCAACGCCCGTCAACCCACCGCGGGCGGTGCCGGCAGCGCCGCTGTCAACCCATTCTACGTCTCGACTCCGGAAGCCTGCCTGCGCGATGCCCTTCATGCGGCCAACGCAGAACTGCAGGTCTCCTACGAGCCGGGGATCACGAGCAGCCTGCGCCCGCCTTTACTGGGAAAGCTCTTGACTGTCCCCGACGGGTCCCGGAACGGCTGGCAAGTTAGCTTCTTTGAAGGTCATGCGCTGGAGGGTCCGGTGGTAGCGTCCAGTATGTGGGACGACTCGCTCCTCTATCTATTTAGTGATGGTGATGTCCCGGCCGTGTTGGACGACCGGCCATACTCCTACCGTGCCACCGGGGTGGTCACTCCGCAAGAGTCAGGTCGCTATACCTGGAGTCTGGCAAATACTGGGAAAGCCAAGCTCTTTGTTGATGACGAGTTGTTAATCGACAACACGGAGTGGACTGGTCTGACGGGCGGATTTCTGGGCTGCTCTAGCGCAGATAAGACAGCCAGCGTCTATCTGGAAGCGGGCCGCGCCTACCAGCTGCGGGTGGACAACGTGGTCACGCTGCCAGTGGTAGAGGCATTTGACAACACGCTATTCCCGCGGATCTCCGGGATGCGAGTTGGTCTGGCCTTGGAGCAGGACGAGCAGGAAATGCTGGCGCAGGCCGTGGCGGCCGCCCGGCAGGCCGATGTGGCGGTGGTGGTGGTGGGCCACAACAAGGATTCGGAGGGCGAAGGAGGCGACCGCACAACGATGCAGCTTCCCGGTCGCACGGACGAGATGGTCGGCGCTGTCTGTGCCGCTAATCCCAATACCGTCGTGGTTGTGCAGTCGGCCAGCGCCGTGGCCATGCCGTGGGTCGATGCTGCCTCGGGGCTGGTGATGGCCTGGTGATGGCCTGGTATCAGGGGCAGGAAAATGGGCATGCTTTGGCAGCCGCTCTGCTCGGCGACTGCGACTTCAGCGGTCGACTCCCCATTACCTTCCCTCGACGGCTCGAAGACCATGGCTCCAACGCCTGGTTCCCGGGAGAGGCTGCGCAGGACCGCAACACCTTTGGGGAAGGGGTGCGCGTCGGGTATCGCCATTTCGATGCCCAGGGAATCCCTGCCCTCTGGCCCTTTGACTTTGGTCTTTCGTATACACAATTCCAGCTGACCGACATTCGGGTCTGCGGTCGCGTGGAGGGACGTTCCCGGGAGTCTCAGCCTGCGTTGATCCAGGCGCGTGTCTGCAATGTCGGAGGCCGCGACGGGCAAGAGGTGGTCCAGGTATATGTAGCGCCATCAGCCCAGATCCGGCAGGCTGGGGAAATGAGCTTCCCCAAGACTCTGGCGGGCTTCTGTAAAATTGCTGTACCAGCGGGAGTGTCGCGAGAAGTGTCGATCCCCATCCGGGGGTCGGAGCTGAGCTGGTACGATACTCGGGTGGCGCAGTGGCGATTGGATGCGGGCAAGTATGCCTGCTGGGTTGGTCGAAGTAGTAGCCAGATTGATGCGGAATTGAAGATTGAAGTGGCAGAGGGAGACGACACAGACATGGGACACTAGAGTAGTTATAGTTATCCGAAGTTAGAGTGAATGACAGGTATCTTACATCAACTGGAAAAATGGCCCTTGTAGACAAGATGAATGTCTTACCATTGGGTCTGCAGTGCTCGGAAGAATGAATGTCCGGCAGTCTTTGACTACTTAAGCGGTTGCTAAACGCGAACTACGCTAATTCAACTAGTACTAATAGGCGGCATAGCATCTTGTCACCATCTATGGATCTTACCGCCCCCGTGGCCTGTTTGGGCTGCCGAGAAAAGCATCTCAAATGCGACGGCAATCTGACCGGCTGTGCTCGCTGCCAGTCCTTGGGGCTCACCTGCCGCTTCGTGCCCTCCCGTCGTGGTCGCAAGTGTCGCCCAGCAGCACCAGCAGCAGTTCCCCACGACACCACCAGTCTGCCCACTCCCAACTCCAACTCCAATTCAATACCGGTGGATCCCATCTCCTTCTCAACAGGTCCCGTCGGGCAATGCCACACCCTGGAATACCCGCAACATGCGGGCTCCATGGCTTGCGATCAAGGGCTGCAGCTGATCTCCCTATACTATCTCCACTTTCACCAAGCCCACCCGTTCCTGGCCCCCATGCAAGTCCTGCTCGAGTCGGAACCCCCCGCGTTCCTGCTTGATATTATGGAGTTCATCAGCCTCCATTACTTGTCCCCGCAGCTGTTTCAGGATAGCAGCGAGTCCCTCGGTCTGGCCGTGCAGGCTGCGGACCTGACCATTGAAAAGGTGCAGGCCTTCCTGCTCCTCGCCATTGTGCATCACGGGCGACAGCAGGCCCCTGACGCCCGCTCATATCTGGGACAGGCCCTGCAGGGTGCACTGGACCTGGGCTTGCACCTTCGGGAGACCTCGGACGCCATCCGTGCGGATGCTCCCTTCCAGGCCGAGAGTCTGCGGCGCACCTGGTGGGAGATCGTTGTGATCGATGTGCTGCTGGCGGCTGTCCAGGTCGATGGGGTTTTGCAGTTCCACATGGAAGAAACCCCCACCACGCCTCTTCCTGGTGAGCTGGATCAGTATCAGGCTAGCGACGTCATCTCCGACCCCAACTCCTTTCCGTCCACCCTGGCGGATCTGGAACAAAACGCTCTGTTCTGCGGTGATGTGGAATTCTCCCCGGGGGCTTACCGCGTCGAGGCTGCGTTGATGCTTCGCAATTGCCTCCGAGCCGGCCAGACGCACGTCGGTGAGGAGACACTAGACATACTGAACGCGGCCAACATCGCCTGGTTCCATCGACTGCCGCCACGCCAACGGTCCATGCTTCAGCTCAACGGGGTGCAGGACGAGCTGATGACACAGGCCATGATGTTGATGCACTGCGCCACCATCTATTTGCACTTCCCACGCTCCTGTCTGCTCGCATTCCTGCCCGTCACAGGCCAGGTGATGTGCTCATCCCCGGCCTTATCCGTCACCAGTACCCTGGACCCTCAAGTGCACACCCACAGGGTTATCGAGGGGTCTGTTAGACTATCTCAGCTAGCCGCCTTGTCTACCTCGGTTGTCAACCATACTCCTTTCTTTGCCTGCACCCTGGTCCTCAGTTCCGTTATCCAAGTTGCCGCCATGTTCAGCGAGAGTCTGCATTCCTCTAAGGCGAGCCAGAGACAATACCTAGCTCTCAACCTTGCCGTTCTAAAGTCTATGGGACAAACCTGGCCCATTGCTGCTGCTGCCTCACAACGAGTGCGTCAAGCCATGATCGAAGTCCACAATGCGATCCCACGAGCTGCCAACCTGTTGCTTGGGGAAGTCACCCCTCCTCCCTAATACACCGGCGTACATTCGGTGAAGAGTGTTGTTGCCAAGCTTTGTAACACCCGTTTGCTTCCATATAGAAGGCGGATGACCCTGCTGTCGCTGTGCGTGCATCGAACCGCGCTTCTTGTGATGCTCTTGAGCACTGCTTATGTTCTACGCCTTTGCGAATATAAATAGGCAGCCTGAGCATTGTCAAGAACTAATCGATCATCAGCTCTACGTGCACTCATCGCGGCGCAGTTGTCTCCGGAGTCACTCGACCCCTGCCCCACGGGTAAAGCTTCCCCAACCGGCACAGGCCGCACCTGTGAGCTCATTTACGACATCCCGAAGCATCGGGGCTTCCGCGGAGTCTGAACTGTGCTACGCAGGAGTAGACGGGGATCGGCGAGAAAAGCCAAGGCGGGGTTCCCAATGGATGGACGTGGAATGAAGCAGATGAGAGTGAACATGTGGGTCTGGGCTTACACTGTCAATCAAAAAAGTCTTTCCAAGGATCCTGGCGTTGCCGTCACACGGACGCGCCGGCACTACGACTAAGTACTCCCCGAACGGCAAAAGCCTGTTTTTCACGAATAAAAATGTGCGAATGAATATATATTTGCCTAGCAGGTGAGATTATGTTAATTCGACAGAATCGCCAGATGAAGGGCGCCGCACATCTAACAGCCCATTCATTGTTGCGAATTTGCTAGAGACATTCGAGACCGACAAACTTTCCGTTGCTCATGGAAGGTAGGAGATGGGGGCGAATAATATCAATACTATCGGAGCGATGCGTATGGATTCTAGCGTCCCAGACTTATTTTTTATCCGACCAAGCGTTTAGTTAAAAGTATGGGACAAAGACGGGCGTACAGAGAGAATGGCATACAGCCAAACAGACGTCGTGAAAGCAACCGAGTGATCCGGACCCGACAGGGTACCTTACCGTACAACCCAGGCACACATATGCCCCGTGGAATAAGATGGGGATCGTCTTCGACAGCATGCGGGATCCTTCTTCGGCTCCACTGCAGATCCGCATCAGCCCCTGAGTTGGAAGCTTGATACTCGGTGCCCGCGCGCTCCGCTGCGGCAAATCCCTCAAAGGTGTTGGGCAATCGGACTTATGATGATTCTGTGTATAGCTCTGTGTTCCGAACTGTATTATGGATATGTCCATAAAGGCTATTCAATTTCATATAGACAGTACGTGATTCAGGGGGATTTCCTTGACTACGGAACTCATTTTGTTCGAAGAATACTTGGACCCGGCAAATGGTATAATCACACGCCTTTTTATGAAAGGCGTCGGTCGAAGAGGGTAGGATGGGAAGGTTTTGAGTGCTAGTCAGACACACAGGGGTAAGTGCTAAGGCTACTGCCATCGGCGATCCTTTGAAGTGGGCTCTGTTTCTCCATGTCAGTGCGTTTCGGGATGTAGAGGAATCTGCATGCAGCTGACCATGGAAAGGCCTTATGGAGGAATATACATCGGCTAAAGCTAAAGAATCAAGGCTCATCCATCTGTTGGCAAAATGCTAGCCCGAGCCTTTACGGTTCATACACCCTGTAGCAACGATGGGAAGCAAAAGTGTCTCATGTAGAGAGCCTCTGTGGTCTTCCACAAACATACACGGAGAAGCTTCCGAGTTGTCACCATTGCGGTAATTAGAATCAGCTATAAAATCGCGATGGAGGATAAATAGGTACACCATGCCCCGCTTAGGATGAGAATCATAATCATCCTCATCCTCATCAACCACCTCTCAGTTCATTGCGTCTCTGGGGTAACCTCACTCAGACCACTGTAAGAATGGTCAAGCTACTTCCTACCTTCGTGTTTCAGGCTGTCTTTGCTCTCGCAGCAGCGGAGTACCTCAATTGGACCACATACAGCGCCAACGGGGTGAATCTGGGCGGGTGGCTTAAGCAAGAAAGTACCATCGATACTACTTGGTGGGCAAATATTCCAAGGTGCGGACGATTGGGGCCTCTGTGTAAACCAGGGTCCGCAGTGCGGTCCTATCCTAGAGCGAAATTATGCGACCTATATCACAACCTCGGATATCGACAACCCGGCATTGCGCATCCCCACTACGTATGCCTCCTGGGTCAAAGCGCCCGGGTCACAATTGTATTCAGGGAACAGGGTTAGGTTTCGTTTCTGAACAACATTGCGACATATGCTATCACCAAGCATTACATGCAACTCATCATTGGTGTGTACTCGTTCCCCGGTGGAGGGAATGGTATGGCATTTGAAGAGGCAACAGGACAGTATGGATGGTTCAACAACCGTGGCCCGTCGAATCTTTATAATTCTGCATAAGAATTATCTCACTATTAATTTTAGCACGAAGTTATGACGGTGGACTTCTCATATGCTTGAAATTTTGAACCAGCTTGTTGCGCACAATGTACAGGCTTCATAGTGGGACAATTAGCAAACAATGCTACAGGTGTATATCCTGCAGCAAATTCGTAACTGTTATGCTGTCCCCGTGTCTGGTTTAGTCCATGATAAACGAGGCAATAGTAGTTTACTGGTCTGAAGTACACGTATCGCTGGGCTTTGCCAATAGGATTTCGATGGTAAAGGGCCATAATACACTCATGAGATCTTCTCCACAAGTTGATGGGTGCAGTTTGATGACACAACGTGTATAGAATCGCCAACTAGTGGCCCACTTTATTGATGATATGTTGCTGAACCTTGCCGTTCTTCTGTCTAGCACATTCTCCCCAAGCAGACATGGTGTCGTGTACTCTTAGGTTTAAAAAAGTCCCTATTTGTTATTTGTCCGGCGCTTGATACTCCAATAAGCTCTCGACTCTCAACTCTTTATCCCCGCAGCACCGATTGGACCCGAAGATACCCGATTATCGGTGCCGGATGCCAAACCAACGTTTTTGGAAACGCATCGACAAACCCATTGCTATTGTTCCGTTATTGCCTCCGACTGCGACCTCAACAACTATGGACTGGGATCATCTTGCTGAGGAGCATAACGACAAGTTGTTTGCTGGCTGGCTACAATTGCTTTCCCAGCAGTCCACTGCCTTGCCGTCGAGACTCGCAACCCAGCATCGTCGTGGCATTGCACGGGTAGCTGATGTCTCACAGTTCACCACGGGCGCTTACAATATTTGCTGCATTGTTACCTTTGACGATGGATTCCGTGCACTTGTTCGGTTCCCAATCCTGGGTAGAAGCCGCTTTCGGACGGAAAAGAGTAGAAACGAGGCTTCAGTCATGAAATTCCTATCTCAGAATACTGCGCTCCCTGTCCCCCGCATTCTTGGGATGGGTCGATGGGGATGCGGCCCTTACCTTGTCATAACTTTCATTGAGGGGATGTTGTTGTCCAATCGCCTTGGGGACCCAATAAACCAGTCGCCCAGCTTAAATCCAAATGTTTCCGACACCGACATTCAAAGTGCCGATCGCGTGATGGCGCAAGTTATCTTGGAATTGTCTAAACCAATCTTTTCGTCTCTTGGAGCTCTGGAAGAGGCATCTCAGATGTGGAAAGTAGCTCAAAGGCCACTAACCCTCAATATGAACGAACTGGTGCGCGTTGGAAATCTTCCTCCTGGCATATTTGCCGAAGGGACATTCAGTACCGCGGGCGAATATTTCGAGGAACTCGCGAGACAGCAGCTTCTCCACCTTCAATACCAACGGAACGATGCTGTTGATGATGAGCAAGATTGTCGGAAGAAATACATAGCCCGCTGCCTTTTTAGGAAAATCGCCCGGGAGTATAAAAAGCAGCAGTCGGGTCCGTTCCATCTTTACTGCGACGATTTGCGTCCGTCCAATGTACTTGTTGCAAGACAAAACTTTTCACTCACTGGCGTTATTGATTGGGAATTCACTTACGTTGCGCCTGCCGAATTTACCTATACTGCACCCTGGTGGCTCCTCTTCGAGAGCCCCGAAGCTTGGAAGTCAGACTTGCATGTATTCTTGGCACGGTACACACCACGCTTGCATCTCTTCCTCAATGCACTCCGATCATGCGAGGACGAGATGGTCCGAAAGGGTGCATTAAAGGAGTATCAGCGACGTTCAGGACACATGGCAGAGTCTTTGAATAACGGGCTTTTTTGGTTCTGCCTTGCTGCTAGGAAAAGCTACATGTTTGATGATATCTATTGGCAATTTCTTGACAAACGACATTATGGACAGGGATCTCTTGAAGATAGGCTTTCGCTTTTGTCACAGGAGGAGTTGGATGGACTCGAGATGTTTGTTTCTCTGAAGATGCAACAAGCCCGTGAGGACCGCTTGGACGAACATATGTCGATTGACAAGCTTATTGATCTTTAATTCTAATCCGACTACTAGTCTTTCAATGCATGGAGTATATGTCACCTGTTATACGATTGCTATATTCTAACGTGCTTTGGACCTTCAGGACCTCGGAAAGTTCTGCTACAAATCTACGTTTACCCACCACAATATGCGGCGCCCCAACTTCTTCAACGTCATAGAAGCTGTCATACAGACCTGTAATATAGGTTGCAACGTAAGTAAGATCCTGGTTATAGGTACTGCCATTAGGCGATGCGATATTTAATGTAGTTTCTTGATACAACCTACCTCTAATACATGTTCAACATGAATGATATATGCTCTATGTAATAATACACTTTATAGCCGCTGAGGTCCAGGAATATTGCCTAACCGCTGCTGTCACCAGCCATTTTGAATGAGCCCTATATATAAATGTACTACCAATACGCTCTAGGCTAATCATCTACTATAGCATAAACTAGTCAATGCCGTCGTCGACGATGTGGAATGGCAGATGCTGACGGGAGACCACCCGCACCATGGAGATGTAGGAGGGTTGAGATGGGAGTAGCACCCGGGTAGAAACTCGTCGGCATGGGAGGAATAGTGAAAGGGCTCGTTGATGGCAGATCAGAGGTGAAGTCAGCTGCCATTGTTGGCGCAGCATAGGACCTATCTTGTTGTTAGTAATTCTGGGTTGAAATGAACTACGAGGTAGTCACGTACGGGGTGGCAGTTATAGTCTGTTTGCTGGTAAAAGTCTTTAAATCTGTTGTTCCCTTTGCACTAGAGAGACAGGCCCCATCTCCATAGGCATTTTCACACAGCCAGACCACATAGCTGGTGTCGTTGGCCCAGAGGTTCACGTTTTCGATGGTAATATCGTAGCATGGGACGTCAGAGTCACATTGTAGACGGATCACCGGGCGTGAGGCGCTAGCAGATTCTCCGTGCCAGTTCTATTTATAAGAACAAATTAGAATATTGTCAGAAATCTGGAATGGGACCATGCACTTACTCGGAATGTGAGGTTGGACACTTGAACTCCTACAGAGCCTCGGTCGTCCCCCCAGGCCTCGTCTATGGCTAGCGGGTAAGGACCGCCGTGAACTATGACATTCTCCCAGATGATATTTTTAACAAGTCCATCCCCATTGTTGCTTTTCAGGAAGCACGCATCTGCTCGATTCATGTAGAGATTGCGGTAGTGAATGTCAGAAATATTGGTGCCTGTGCCTAAGGAGCCAATGGCGGTCCCACCACTTAGATTGCAGTAGATATTCTCGATCAGATAGTTGTGCGCCGGAGACTTGACAGTGACACATTCATCGCCGTTGCTCACTTCAATGTCATGGAACCACATGTTCTCTCCCCATACGTCGATGGCATCTGTCGCCCCCACTGATGTCACGCCGCGGATCAAGATGTTATATACCTCTCCACTGGAGACGGTATCAAAGACGATGTAGTAGGAGGGCGAGTCAACAAGTGCAAATCCATGCACCGAAAAATTGCTAACCTCTTGGATGCGCAGCAGTCTCTCGCCGTAGGTCTCATTTTGCAAATATTCGTACCCAAAGCCCTGAATGGCCCCGCGGGAGTTGCCGCTGAAGAGTTCGAAGTCGTTGCAGTCACGGATCAGAATCATCTGATATGATCCGCGGTGTCCGCGCATAATCACACCGTCAAGCTGAATTGCAGAGGACTGGCCGTGCTTGAGCTCGATATCCTCGGCCAGCGAGTAGTTACCAGGTGGGATGTAGACCAGTCCCCCCACGGAGCAATTTCCCCAGGCATCGAGTAGGGGCTGCGAAATATCTGTCTTACCATCTGCGAGAGCTCCGTAATCGATAATGTTGCAGGTTTGATTCCTGGCTTTAGTGCTGTAGTCCACTAGTGGACCAACGGGACCAGACAGCTGCGCCCGTGCCAGAGTGGCCAAGAACAGGATATATGGTAAAATTATGGCTTGCATGATGACCTCTGACCATCAAGAGACTATCATGAGCAGTGATGGTAGTCTATATATCCTCAACAAAATCCAGGATTGAGTGATGGGAGCATTCGGGAGAGCAAGTAGTACATAAGTAGACATACAATTAGGGGGCTGAAGCGCCCGCCGGTGACGATCGCACCCCAAATGTGAGGGCTTCGCATCAAATTGATTAAGGGACGGCACTATGGGCGGGCGATGACGAACCAAGTGGAGATTGGCGGGGAAGAGCAGGTAAGCGAGCCAAAACAGCAGACAAGTTGCCGATGTAGTAAACGAACCCTGTTTTCATAGCCGTCCCTGATCACATGTGCAAGGCCTATCATGGTGTCTCGGGAGACTCTCCAGTGGAGAGGCCATAATAATGATTATTTAGTATTCATTCCTCCCACTAGCTCTAATTATAACTAGCGGACGGCAGGGGTCCTAAGCGCAGGGGTACACGGATCAAACCACTCGTCATGTCTAACAACAGTATCAAACGTCGTAATACGATTAGAGCACAAGGACAGTCCCTAAATGACAGGATATACAAATTAGGTCGCGAGGGATGATAAAGAAACGGCGCAGCAGCCAACATAATACGAAAAGCTCCTCCAGCCACTGCTATGCTTTTGCTAATCCGGTCAACGCCTACCGTTGTACTCCAAGTACATCTACTCTATATTTACATCTTGTGGGAGGCTTCTGGAAGAAAGATCGCACCAACTATTGGTGTTGTTACCAATCAAGAAAACGTCATGTTTATCCTTGATCTGATGGACAGGGGGCGGGGGAAGCATAACGAATATGGAACTCCTGAATGAACCTCCAAATTCGAAGATAAACCCCCGTTTATTGCAGCTGATCAAGGACTCTGGGCTTGTACCTCTTATGTACTTGGATCAATACAAAGAACCAGATGGTGCACGTAATGCGGAACGCAACTGAACCTGAGTATCTCTGTCAAACAAGTTTCTCGCTATTATCGCCAAACAATCGATTCGTAGGCTGTACCAACCGTTGTTATATAAGTGGGATTGGCATGTGTACTCCACCCGCAGGAGTACAGATCTCATATAATCCTAGCAACGGGAGATTGGAGACATGTCGTCAGATGTCCTGAACCTTCATGGAGGCTACCGATGTTTTGCTATCGCAACATCAATCTAGAACGTGGGGGGACCCTGCACCTATTTCGCAATGCCTATAGCCATCGGGCCTTTCGAAATAAAGGACATTGTAAGGGCAATAATATTGTCTATACATATATGCATGGTTCACATTATCAGGTGTTTCTTGAGAATCACCATTCTGTCTTTGTAATCCAGTTGAGTTCAGAAATACATGATGAAGTTGGTTTCACCTGATCTTCGCTACTTGTATTTGATGGTAGGATGGCATTGGGGCATATTCACTACTGGTAACAAGTCCCTACTAGTACTTCAAATACTAAACGAAACGAGTAGCAACTCCGGTGGATGATTTATTATAAACCATAGGGTAAATATCAAGCTCGTACTACTTAGACGCGAGACTTACAGATAGTCACGACAATGATTCATCCACATCAATGCTACTTAACAAACACCAGCACTACTTGTTTATTATCCCTAAGAGGAGAATCCAATGTTCAGTTATCAAACCCAATCTTTGCGTGGCCGATGAGACCTGCCAGTCACGTGATACATGTCAGTTGAGTCATGCAACCATTGGGCCGGCAATTGGATCGGCAGTCGCTTCCATCAGTAGTTCACGTCACGAGTCAGGGGATTTCCCAATTCTTCCTCAACGCCTCATCCTCTGGTAAGTTTTGATCTTCTTCAATATGACTTCTTGAAAATATGTCGAACAAAGCAGGCTGGATCAAGAATCCCCGGGGGACAATTCAGGTCGAGACTGTAGAGCAATGGGTTCCTGGCCCGGGGGAACTGTTGGTACGGGTTGAAGCAGCCAGCTTTAACCCCATTGATGCAAAAATCCAGAGGTATCGTGCTCAAGTACCCGCCAGTCGGCCGTCAGACTAAGAACCCAGGTTGGATTTATTCCAATCTCAGTATCCCCTCATCCTCGGATTCACCTTTGCGGGAACGGTAGTCTCTACAGGGCCCGGTATACATTCGGTGCAACCTGGCGACCGGGTGGTGGTGGCTCGCTGGGGCCAGCAGGCGAGCGAGGATTCCCAATTCGGTGCCCTCCAGATGTATGCACTGGCGCTTGAGCAGAACACCCTGCGACTAGAGCCCGAGACCACATTTGCTGATTCCGCCGGCCTGATCGCCAATCTGGCGACCGTGATCTCCGCCCTCACAATCTACATGGGTCTTCCGAAGCCGCCAGTCGCCGGCACGAAACCGCCCACGGGAAAGAAAATTCTCGTTTACGGCGGTTCATCATCGGTGGGGGGCCTCGCGGTCCAATATGCGACGAATGCTGGGTATGGAGTTGTCACTACCTCGTCCGCGGCCAACAGATCCATGGTGGAGAAACGCAACCCGTCGCATATCATCGATCATAGCCGCCCGGACGAGGACGTGATTTGCGAAATCCGGGAGCATGGGCCTTACGAGGGAATCTTTGATGCAATCGGCTCCACCACGACAACCCAACGCATGGTGGCATTGCTGCGCGAAACGGGAGGCCGGTTCTTTTCAACCAGCCCTTCCCCTGGGGATGAGGCCATCCCTGCAGGTATAGAGAAGCTGTGGGCCGGATATTCTGAGACACTCGTATCTCAGGCTGCACACCGCGAATTGCGCACATGGTACATGGACGCGTATTTACCGGCTGCACTGAAAAAGGGCACGATATGGCCAAATCCGGCATTGTGGCTCGAAGGAGGGCTTAACTCCGCCCAGAAGGCGTTGGACCTCCTTTATGGAGGTCATATTAGCGGCCAAAAGGTTTTTATCAACCCACAAGAGTGAGGAAACCGTCATTCCGGAGACCATGCATCATCCTCTACTCCGGGTTGATACACAGTACGGATTCTGATGCGACTGTCGTTATGTATTCGTGCCTTTGAATAACATATCATTGGGCGGGACTCATTTAAGAAGTCCTGATTATGTTGCGAGTAAACAGCAGAAATAGCATCATTCGACGAGCTTGCCAAGAAGAAACCAGCATCCTTATAAAAAGTTAGGCCCGTACCTTATGTACATATGAGATGGAAGTGAAGTTGAAATGGCGGATTCTGTCCAGATTGCGAAAATAGCCTGAAGTGATATTCGTCCGGATGAACAAGACACAGATCCAAGATTGGCTAATGAAACGCGACCTATTAGAAACCTTCCTCCGGCCTAGCACATAATCAGCTACTTAGTACCGTATTTAGCGACATCGAACGCTCCTGCCATGTTCGTCCAGTGAAAGCCAGTATCTCAGTCAACAAGAAAACTTCAGACTGCTGAGGAGAGCAGAATATATATATTACGCTAGATACTGGTGCGACGCACTTTTTCAACCGAATTATAACCAATAGCATCAAGGGACCAATTATCATTGGAATCAAGATCAAGATGGCCGTTTGAGATCCAACTGGCAATAAAAATCACTATCTGATCACTAATATATACTACTACTTAACTACATCTAGCTTGCTGCAATGGCTTATACTACAACTCATGCCTGGTAAGATAACTGTGTTCCGTTCACTTATCTGTCGTAGTATATCCTTTCATTTAGGCCAAAAGCTGCACGATCTCTTTCTGTCCCCGCCAAACCGCAAACCGCAACGCCGTCCAATTCTTATTCCCGGATGCCATGGACACATCGGCGCCAGCGTCCAGCAAGAGTCGCACAATGTCTGCGTGGCCGCCTTCTGCCGCTGCTGCCAGTGCCGTGTAGCCATTATACCGACCTCCGGGAGCGTTCACATCCGCCCCGGCCGTCAAGAGTCGAAGGACGGTGGTGCGGTGACCGTTAAAAGCCGCGGCCTGGAGGGCTGTCACGCCATGATATCTGCAGGGTGGTGCATCCACCTCCGCACCAACGTGAAGTAAAAACTCTACCATCTCATCATAGCCACCAAACGCCGCGGCCTGCAGCACGGTCCGACCCCGGTTGTTTGCCGGGGGCGCGTTGATCTCTGTGACAGGCTGGTGTTGTAACAGCCACTGTAAGATCTCGAGATGGCCTCCCTCCGCTGCGGCCTGCAGGGCGGTGCGCCCCACGTATTTGTGTGCCGGGTACTTGACGTCCGCGCCTGCGGCAACGACCAGATGGCGAACGATCTGGAAGTGGCCAGCGCCAGCGGCGAGGGTGAGGGCGGTTCGGCCGCCGTTATTGCCCCCAGGAGCATTCACATCGGCACCGGCGGCTAAGAGCGTCTCGACCACCTTAAGATGGCCGTTGAGCGAGGCAGCCTGAAGTGCGGTTTGGCCGTAGTAGCCTCGGGGGGGTTCGTTGGGGTTGCTTGATGGCTGAGATAAAAGGAGCTTCACTTCGGGTAGATTGCCTTGCGCAGCGGCCAGCTGGAGGGGAGTCCAGATTCCCTCCTCGTCTGGTTCCTCCAAGGAAGAAGGCAGTCTTCCGTGCACTAGACTGGAAACTTGCGAAAGAGTCATGAAGGGGCACAACACGTCTCCGTTGTCAGGATCTGCCCAGGGAGCAGATTCTTGCGAAGCCAGGCTTTACACCAACTAGTGCTTACGCGGTTATCACGGCATGATAAACAAGCAGGCCAAGATGAGGCTTGATTGCATCCCCGCCCAAAGGGTTCGTTGCTGATAAGCCCCAATATGCATGACCACGTATTACAGATGTAACGGGCGGAGCATTGTATTGAACATGACTGATTACAGGGCAGCGTCAGGAATCGTCTACTTCTGGCCCAGTCCAAATCTCCTGAAGCCAATAGCGATAAGGACATTGAATTTGTCTCTCCGTCCGCTGGCTTGGTGAATGAAACGAAGACTAGGATCACATCGTCACCAGTAACAAGGATACCAAGCCTTCGTTGGAAATATGCAAATGCTCGTCTACTTTTCGAAGGCTTCCTCGTGTTTTCCTGGTCGTAGCTCTGATATCAAAGGTGGGGTGTTCAGACCAAACGGATGTAGTCGACAAGAGAAGCTTTCGTCCAACGCATAGGCATCACCCGGCCACTGTCTATGATTACACGATATTCAAATGATTTCTCTGTACTAAAGCTCTTCTCTGTCTGTCAGTCCCGTGAAAGCCCGTAATTCTGGATAATACCGCTGGGCTTGGTCCTGAGCTTGTCTATGATGATGCTGAAATGATGTGGAACACGACGAGGATGCAAGAGATTCATAAGAACTGGTATTCCTCGTTTCCTAGTGAGTAATCTCATGTACAAATTGTACAACCACAGAAACATTTGATCTCAGAATGATGCGTTTATCCTCAAAGCTGGTCGCGGCTACATCACTATATCTGCGGAAGAAGAGTTTGAAGTCCTGCACCTTGCATTCGAAATGGACAACGTCTTCGAGCAATGTGACCACCAAGGGCCATACCATGGCGGTCTATCACCAGCAATATTGTCTTGTAAGCTTTCTTACCCGCGGTTTGAAGTTCCGATCTCAACTGATTCTTCCTGTAGTCTCTTCGATAATATCAACGGTCGGTTGCTCGTCCCACCTAGGTTCAACGTCTTAACGTTCTGCTGTGCGCATCCCCTTCGTCAGCCACCGCATTCGTCCCGGCAACATGGATAGAGAGCAACACTGCATGCGAATACGGCAGATCCGTCGCCGAGACCATCTCGTGTGACTGCAAGTTTGAAGGACTAGCAATGGCCTGGCTCCCACCTCACGACAGTGAGGAAGAGTTGGCCGAGGAATCCAATACCGTAGGCAAACGGCCCAACGGTACTTGGATTTACTACGCGAATAGCGAGTGCACTATACCTATGGATGCAAGTGAGGTGGTGGAGTCGGGGGACTGACCGACGGCATTGGTACACATGAGTGTCCAATGGCACCCCCTTCACTGCATCTTTTACTGGCGCAAGCAGTTCCGTACGCAATCTAACGGGAAAGTTCTGGAGCCTCAATCGGACACGGAGCATCATAACATGCATTGCGGAGAAATCTTCTTATCGCCATGATCAGGAACCAAATTGGGGGTGGCGCTTGTGACCAACAGCGAGTAGGAGTGGACGCTCATACCCTTGAGTATCGGGGTGGTAAAGCGGGGGGTTTGTTACGGCGCATACGTCCTCCGTACACCGGCGGATGCCCGACATTCCTATGTACATAGTAAAGACAGGGACGGGGCTGCGCACGGTCCCTAGGATCGATATCTATTGTCGGACATGAATTGATCTGACTTTCTAGGAGGGATGGTCCATTCAAGAGTGTTCATCTCATCAGACTTCCTCTTCTGTGTTGCTGGCCACCAATTGGCTTGGTTGCCTGTACTCATCCGAATAGTCCCGGTCAATGCTTAGTGCCCATGGCTAGCTGGTCCTATCAGCGTGTGGAGTGCGACAGAGGCAATGATGGGTTGATTCTGTGTATCCTGTCTGGACCATCTACGGTCGTTAACAATACCACTGCATCATTCACGACAACACGTCGAGTTTTTTGAAGGTTTGGGCAAATAACCGGGTCTGGCCAAGTTCTTCCAACTGTTGTGTCTCAGTTTCTATCAATGGAATCGGCCACCTCACATTGTAGCTCTCTGCCAGCCATCATCAGGACTCACGATCAAACTTGGAGGAAACAGTTGACCGGTTCAGGCGCTTCTTCTTGTAAGTTAGGTCCGTCCGAACCAGCTTGCTTTACCTTCGCCGCTGCTGATTCATCTTTCAGCAATGGCTATTTAATTACTGTTTATTATGAAACTCCCAGAGGCTCTCACTCCCTTCCCCCTGTACGAAACTCATTCACCCTCCGACCGAAGATAAATAAAGACCTGTGCCTAGGTGCCTCTCGGATTATAATCAGCAGCTCCCTCATACTTCTATTTGTGATCTGTGTCGTTTCACCCGCATCTAACTTTACATTCCGTGACTCGAGAGCTACCTGCTTGCTGAAAAGCTTAACCATAGCCTCGGTCTCGAGCGTCAAATTCACGCGCCCCCGGTCTAGCTTTGCGGACTATTTCGGGGAGCAGTCCCGGGAGCTACCGTGCTTTATTAGGTTGGATGATCAATCTATGGTACCGCTGAACTCGTCAATGAGAGTGCATTGATGTACCTACAATGATTTCAAGAACGGTGTCCGGAGAAGGAGCAGGTCCAGCGGAGCGGCGACTATCTCAACACTTACCCCCGGGAGGATCCATACGCGGTGCAGATCGCCATGGACGCCCTCTTCCACCCTGCCCACTGCCCCCTGGTGGCTACCTCCTGGCGCTGCGTCGGTATTGGTGCGCAAGGGAGACCAGTCGGCATGTCTGCCCGCGTGCTATCGTGATAAATCACGTTCAGCATTGTTTGGATTCTCCGGACGCAGTGCTGTTTGTTGATGGCGTTGCCAATAAAAGTCCTTACTACCAAAAGATACGGATAGTCGGATGCCGGGGTTCGTAAGTGCCTGTTTTTAGAGTTCAACGGATGGATCACGATTAGGAGGATTCATGGATTAATGCTCCTAAAGGCTGGTCATACAGAAACAACATAGTAATGCACTGGCGATGGCTCATCATATGTGCTGCCGCACTATTAGGACATAGAGAGCTAATATTCAGCAATTAACTTAACATTACACTTTAAAACCCCATAGTCATACTTAAACAAGCCATTTCAGAGACTATTTAGTGTTGCCGGGGAGCAATATCACATTTAATTACAATCTATATTCTGAAAATGAGGCACGTCAGTCGCTGACGCATGACAAGTTGAAGGATGAATAGATTTTGGGAAAGGCTAGCCAGAGCAAGTCTTGTGGAAGTATACCACTATCTTAACAATATGGAATAGAGGGTTTACTAAGGCATGGTCGCTGAAGGCTCATGCTTATAGTGACATCAATAGCCCGAGGAAAACCAAAATATCCTCCACTGTCCAGACCATTAAACATATTCCTCAGTTGGAGTCTTCTCCTCCTTTCCGCGTTCCCAGCAGCAGGTTTGCCGCCCACCGGACCCGTAGTTGCCCACTCGGACATTCTTTCTCAAACACACGGTCCCAGTCAGCCAGCAAGACATGCGCAGTGTCGGGAGCGAGCGTGTGTTGTGGTGGCAAGCATGTGTTCAAGAACTTAAGAAGCCACTGCTTGTCCGCGTCAAACTCCCACCCTTCTGCCTCATCATCGCTGCCGGTATAATATCTGACTTGCTTGTCCCTGCCTGCGACCGCACTGTACTTCTCGGGCTGCAGACCAGCGGGAAAGTACTTCACAAACTGCGCGTAGTAGGGCATCTTGCCATCATCGGTGGGGTTGATGTACACCCGGACAGGATCCTCGAACAATTCTTCTGGCGCTGGAACTGAGTCTACCTGCCCTTCACCAGATCCCAGACGCTGCATCAGACCATACAACATTGCTGCCTGGTTTGATTCAGCATCCTGCTGTAGCGGCTGCAGGAGCACCTTTGCAAAGATGGACGCAAAGACATCATGAAAGTGTGAAGACTGTTTGGGGAACGTAGGAAGCCAATAGCTAAAGATTGCCATTGTTCCTCCCAGTCGAAGCATCTTTCCAATGGAGGTAACCAGTTTATTTGGGTCCATAAAATGTGCTGCAGTCGCACAGATCGCCATGTCAGCCTGGCGTTCACCGACCTGGTGATACGCTTCTTCACCCACGGCCTGGCTGTACTCGAAAGTAGGATGCAGGCCATGTTGCTCCGCCCAATTAGGGAGAAATATTTTCGCTTGGGACTGGTTGCCTGGACTGGGATCGGAGACATGGATGATCTGGAAGTCGGTCATAAAGTTCGTGGTGGCTATGCCCGAGCCGGCACCGATGTCAACCAGGCGCTCCCAGCCACCGGGATGAAGGCGTCGGTAGTCATAGATAAGTGAAGTTAAAGATTGTGGGTATTGGGGACGACCTTGATGATAGTCCTCCCAATCCATGGTAGCAAAGGTGGTTTTGGTGATGGGGTCGACGGTTGTCATATTGTCGGTCTGGGTGGTATTTGGACAGCTGAGTGATTGAGTGAAAAAACTGATTTGACTCTAGATAACTTCATCTTGAATTTATAGAGCATGCAGCTGTCAGGTCTATAGTACAGTCTGTTGATAGTAACGGAAGCTCTGGAACGAAGCCCTCGCGTGGGCTCGGAGTTACTTTTCGGAGCAAATCTGGGAATAAGAACCCTAAAGTACGGGAATGTTGAGTATAGAACAGGCATGTGGCGATAAATAATGGCCTACCAAGATGTGCTACTACCGATTGAGGTAATGGATGAACAAACCCCTTAATTGGGCTCTGTCAAATAAGGTTTTAATCGTCCAATACCAAGAGGTGCCTGCAGAGAGACGGAGATGATCATTACCTTTTCCCGCTGTGATCATCAGAGCCGAGCTTCTTGGCTGCGGTCCGCGCGGTTGACTGCGCCCCCGTTAGCCAATCTTGGCCTCGATCTAGTATCTACTCCGCCTGGACGCCTTCTTTATTAATGTCGGAGGCCTATTAGCAGAGGAAATAGTTGTAAAGATCATCTCCATTGCTTTTTCCTGGCTTCTGATAGATTAACTGACAGCTCAATCACGTACAGATATGTGTGATGATGCACCGTTGGGGATTAGTGGTCGATGTATGACTTCAATAGGAAATGGATGCTCAAAACAGTGGCTTCGGTTATAAAAAAGGTGGCCAGGCGAAGTCAGGCCTTCATACGTGATTTGATATAGAATTACATAATAATGTCTCCCTTTATGTCGATAATAATAACCTTGGGTCTGACACGCAGCGGGGTAAGAAGTTTATATACACCAGAGCTCAAAAACATCAACGTAACAACAGAGTTCATACTAGCTTAACGACAGACAATTCCAGCTCTATAGTTACTGTAATATGGGAAGGCGGGATATCATGCGATAATAGCTTTAAGTGTGCTATCGGCACGGTCAACAAGAGGATCGTCCATTTAATTGTGTCGCTGTCGGTAGTGGACGACCATATTCCAAACATATAATCTTGAGGAGCGCTCTACAGAAGCAGCAACAAAAGCAATAACGAAACGAACGAACGGAAGCAAAAGAGTGAGTTGAATTGAGCTATCTAGGAGAGCAAAATAAAGCAATATGAAGAGGTGCTTTGTGGGCAGTCCGAGCATAGTATGTGATTAGTCTATATGAATATCTCGACACGGCCCTCTAGGCGAAGGAGTGTACGAGGAGGTGCTAAATAAAGTTGTAGATATTTTCTAGATAGGTAATCTTTTACATATTAAGCATTATTCCCTGGATGCTGCGGGGGGATAGTTAATAGAGTTATTTCTAGCAGGGTCTGGAAGTCACGGAACTTTTTTTAATCCAGCAGTTTAGTAAGGCTGTCTGCAGGATTACTAGTGCCTGTAATATGTTAGATTAATATAATATCTATTTTAATTAGATCTATTATAAATAGATAATAGTTATTTAGCTATCTAGTAGACCGCGTGTATATATTATAGTTAAGGATCTGTAGTAAATTAGCAGTGTCGCTGAACAGGGGTATTTTACTATTATCTGATATCTTGAGATTAAATACCTGTACTAATTTCTTGATATACAGGGTATCTTTAGTAGTGGTATTGTACGTGTAGTATTCTGCAATGGTAGAGAAGAATATAATAATACTTTATTTATTTAATAATCAGATAATAGGTCTGCCTGCATAGAAGATAATATATTCTTTTATTAATTTACTGTTTTTATAATTAGCATGGGCAGTATTTACATAAACTTTAATTTTTTTAGTATGATTAACTGCTAGGATGATTCTGTAGAAAATAATATCCTGTAGATATTTATATACATGCTTCAAGGCCTTTATATTTGTTATAGTTAGAATATATATATATCTCTATAGACGGAATATGGTATGATATAGATCAGGTCTGGTTTTAATAATTAACCAGTTCAATTTATTTATAAGACTTTGATATTTATTAATATTAATTTCCTTAGTTGATATTACAGTATAATCTGTTTTTGTATAAATAGATATTATAAAGATAGTGACGCCTGAGTAGGATTATATACCTGTAGCAGCAAGATATTTCTTTATATAGATAAACTGCCTGAGCAAGATACTGCCTGTCTTATAATTATATAAAATATTATAATTAAGTAAGATCTTCAGTTTGCCTAGTTCCTTGAATCTAAATATTTTATTAAAATAGTATTTTACTGAGATTAGGTCTGCCTGCTCAGGGCTAGTGATAGTAGAATTATCTATATAAATAATAAGTTATATCTTATTATTTCTGTATATACACAGATTCTTTAGCAGGGATTTAAAGCTGATTTCTTATAACTTCTTATTAAAGATATAATGTTATAGATGTACTGCCTGCTGCAGTCTGTAAAGAATTATTTTAAGTAGATATACTTATTTAGGGAAATTCTTATAGAATCCAGTTAATTATTTTATGTAGACCTGCTTGCCTTTTATTTGAATATATAGATAGATAAAAATAATATTATATTATTTTTAGCGGAGGCTCTTTACTACTATATTAATTATAAATATTTTAAAAGTAATCTTGCTTGCTACTGGAGCAAAGGATTTAGTATAGTTAATATCAGGTATTTAATGGTTACTGTAAATTATTTATTAAGTATAAAATTGTATAACAATCCTCTTTATATTAATCTTCAGGTTAAATATCTATTTACCTGGGATCACGCGGGCACCAGCAGGGTGGTTGATTATTTTATATATATTTATTAATTTAATTTTATTAATCTGTGTGGCCATGGCTGTCTTTTAATATAGAGTAAGCAGGAATAAGATAGTTTTTGTATAGATATTTAATATATTAATCTTATATTATTTAAAAATAAATAAAGAAGGCAGGTCAGATTCTTACTTTAGTATAGTTATTTATTTATTTTCTAGTTATAAAGAACTTTTTTTTTTATAGTTTATTAGAATTATTTTAGTACAGTAATTATAGCAGCAGAAGGTTCAGATTTAGTAAATTAGAAATCATATTTCACATATTTAGTAGATGATGCTTTGTAGTTATGAGAATTCTCTATTAAATAGATTAGATTAGTAGATGCAAGGAGGACAGGTATAATAGATTCAGTTAATATAGATATAGTCTTTATTTTTTTATATATAAAGTTAGCAGTGTTATCCTGTATAGAAAGAATCTTATTATTATTAATTATATTCTTTATATCTTGTATGATTATTTTATTAAAATTAATTCTGGTACTCTGCATCAGTATAATTAGATTTTTAGAGATAAGTATAAATACTGTAGTTACTCTACCAGAGTCTTCATAATTATTCTTGTATGTATATTCTTTATAAAATATTATATTTCTTGATTATTTAATCTTATTTAAATCAGGATACTATATTAAATAAACATGGCCATGATCCTTATTAAATCTAATAAAATAATTAGTATTAGTGCAGGGGCTTATCTTTCTGGAAGTAATATAGTTCTTTACAGATATATATTAATAGTAATAGTATCCAAACACATGTAGGAACTTAAGCGAGGTATTAAGATTTAGAAGATTATAATATAATCTATATAAATAAACAAGTATTTCTTTGATCTTACTCCCTGCAGGGACTAGACAGTTAAGAATTTATATAGTAAGTCTCATAGTAAACAGCCAGAGAATTATAGGTATATCTAAGTTAAGAATTATAATTCTGCTTATCTAATTAAATAAATTATTATAGTACTCAGTAAGATTATTTATCTTGGGTGTTCAGGAAGGTAATATAATAATATAAATTTTTTAATCTTTATAATATATTTATTCTTTAAATCTATTAAACTTGTGGTCCTTATCAAGATGTTATGAGGTAATATATCTACTAACTATATTCTTGTATTTATTGTTTATTTAAATTAGCTTTATAAAGATATTATCTTTTTACTTTAATATAGCTGTTCTGATTAATTAGATAATATTATTTACTATTACTAGGAAATATTTAAATTCTTTATAGTTAACCAAGATTACCTGCTGTATATTTATATGCCAGAGTTATATAGAGTCAGAGATTCTCAGAATAGAGTTTCTTAATACTAAGTACTTTACTTTTTCTAAAGAATATATATTGCAGTATAGATTCTTATGGTATTTAAGTTCAATCTACTGGTTCTTTGCAGTAGAGATAATCTTGCAGAATTCTATATATTTATATTATTAATATAATAGTAAAAGATTAACTACAGCAAGAATTAATTCTGTATTCTGAGTATATATAAAAAATATATTTTTATTTTCTTATAAGTATTTTATTACTTTATTATTTATTTCTCTTTATAAGGTCAGATTGATCATGTTTATATATATTCTGAAGTCCTTTTATAAGAGAATTACAGATAGGAGGCCGTATACAAGATCTAGTTAGTAAAATATCTTAATTTTAATCTCATAGTATTTATTATTTATAGATAAGATTAGGATTTAATAGCTAGCTGACCTAGTAATATTAATTTCTCTGTCAGATATTCTGTATTTATAGAAGTTAAAGATATCTAGATTATGGTAGTAGTCTAGTAAGATATAATTAGATATAATATATTAGAAACTGTCTGTATCATAGATCTAGTATAATAAGTAGTTAGTAGTATTTCTAACTGCTATTCTAGAGAAGTTTAAAAAATATATATTTTTATTATTTAATTTTATTTTATATAGGGTAATATATTGAGCAGGCATCTCTATTATCTATTTTATAGGTATAAATTCTGCTGTTTTAAAATTATCTTTTAAGTTTAAATCTAACTTTTCTTCTTTATATTAGTTATTCTGAATCTTAAAGAACTAGATATCTAGAATATATAGTTACTATAATCTTGGATATAAGATTATATTAATATATTAATACTTTATTCAGCTATGGTCAGGGTATCTGCAGTAGCTATAAGCTCTATTAATATACTTAGGTATTATTTTTCTTATTCTAGTAGTGTGCTCTTTATAAGAAATATCTTTTATAGAATATATAGTTTTCTTCTATTTTTTTTTAATACTTTTTGGTTTTTATAACAAGCTTTAATCTTTTTATATAATAGCTACTATTCTTATTCTACTGAATTTATTATACTGTTTCCTCGTATTCTAGCAGATAGTATAGAAATCACTATTACTGTATATAGTATCTGTGTTCTCTGGTATTTTATTTTTTATATAGGTAATTTATACAGGCATATTACTCTGTATCCTTTGAAGAAATAAGAGTATGGTTATAAAGATAAATATTCTGTATTATAAAGTCTTGGTGAGAGTATAGTTTACTTAAAAATTATTAATATATTTAACTGTTATAGTATACTCAGATCTCCTTGGTTTAATAAGATTATATATAATATTTTAATAAAGTATGATACTATCTTCTAGGATAATTCTTTAGAGTATTTTATATATGTTATCTACCAGTTCTTTTATATTAATAAAGTCTGCAAATAGATCTAGTATTTTGTTTGATATATTCTAAGTTAATTATAATTATATAACTGTTGAATAAATATACCAGGTCTTGTATTTTTTATGATCTTCAGTAGGTCTAGCTAGATTCTTATTAATTAGGTCTAGTAGACTGATATTCTTGAGTATTTAATATATTTAAAAATCCCATTTTATTTAATTTACATGTTCTTCCAGTAAGATTAATAACCTTGGAATACTATCAGGTATCTGCTTAGAAAGTTTATCTGTCTATAAAATAATCTTAATAATTATTTTTTCTTCTAGAGAGAGGTTTTTGAATGAGATTCTATATCTAATTTTATAGGTTATACTGGCTGTTCAGTGTGCTTAGTATAAGTAAGTAGATAAATAGATAAGATATACTTCTTGGTGTGAATATATAATTCTATTAGACCTGTTGGGCTTGCCAAGACTGGTATTCTGTAGAATATCTTATCTAGTAGTAATGGCTGGCTGTAGTAAGACCTGAATAGCTTCATAGTGTAGAGACTGGGCTTATAATCTCTTGAGAAGTACTTTATAGAAACAGCAATAAAAGTAATAATGAAATGAACAAACGGAAGTAAAAGAGTAAGTTAAATTGAGCTATCTAGGAGAGCAAAACAAAGCAACGCGAAGAGGTGCTTTGTGGGCGGTCCGAGCGCAGCACGTGACTAGCCTACATGAATGCCTCGACATATAATGAGTAGTGTTCATGGTTCTGCAGAGCTAACAATTTCCACAGCCACTTATAGAATCAAGTGCAAGATGACACAATTGTACTTTGCTGGCTTACTAGTACCGCCCGATATCTTGTGAACCAAAGTAAGGCAGCCCCCTGACCAGCGTCTATCAGGGTATTAAGATTACTGAGTTGAACCATGCAGTAATCACGTAATGAAGAGCAAGCGCAAAACCCAGAACCTGTGTTAGACCATGTGTTCCACCTTCTCATCGGCCAAGCCTACTGTTTGACAGCAAACAACTACTGGTAGGTCCCATATTATAGTCTGGTATAGTTAACTACACTGACCCATGCTCGAAGAACTGCCTACCCAGCTCCTGGGTCTCAATATTTAGCTCCTCAATTAACAGAGATTTTAAAAAGTCAGACAACGCGAAAGGCCGATCGCAGCACGAAATAGACGGAAGGAAACGAGGATGCCGATTGCGAGCGCTTGATCCTCGGCGGTCGGGGCGCTGGCCTGCATGGGGATGCGCGGCACAGTGAGCAACGTCCCGATACCGATTGCTCTGTGCCCCGGTGCCACATTGCGAAGAGTCCCACACCAACCCTCAGAAAGACCCAGCCACCCCGGATCTCCCACCGGTAAGTGCGGATTTAGTCCAGCACTCAGGCAGAAATGCCCGTGAAAGCCAGGAGCACGCAGCAGAAGTGGAGCATTGAGATCGCCGACCGTAGTGGGGTCTCTAGATAGACAGACTGGAAGAACAGGGCCAGTACATCAGAAGAGTGTACAGTATGACACCGTGAATGAAGCTTTCAATGAGTGCCATCTGGGCAGGACGCTAGCGGAAGATACGGTATGGGAACACAGGAGATTGTGGCCGGGACTCATAGATAGCGAAAGCAACGAGGACCAGGAACCCGAGCACCAAGGGTACTATGGTTCGCCACGAGGACTACGGGTACATATTCCCGGCCCAGCTCAGGGGCAAAGCGAAAACAGTGCAGCCAACCGCAAAGACAATGATCCCTACCCAATCAAGTAATGCCAGTTGCGTGCAGAAGGATTCACTAATGAATAGACTTGAGACGCACGAAGAAATAGTCCAACACCACTACAATTGCTATCACTGGCAAATTGATCCATCCAATCTACCGCCGTCCAACCTACTCGCTGGACAGTGCCCCAAGGGTGGGCCCCAGAATGATCCCAGGAGCCACGGGTAGAGAAAGAAGACCAATATAGGTAGCACGCTCCTGCAGAGTGATTATGCCCGCCGCAATAACCTCACTTACCACTTCTAGGCCTCCACCACCGATTCCCTGAAGGACCCCGGACTAGATTCAACACATACATGCTACGGGTCACGCCAAAAACGACAGTCCCAACAACAAAAATAAAGAAAACTGCATAAAGTGCAGCCTTTCGTCTGATAATGTCGGACAAACTGGTGTGTATTGGCTGAACAATGATAACAGCGAGGGTGAAGGAGATGCTGGCCCAGAATGCGGGGAGGGTTTTTGCCGGCAAGTTCACTGGTCATGGCTTATGAGATCACAACATGAAATACTAATGTCCCATGACCGTTGAAGAATATATAACAGTAGTCATCCTACATGGATAACAACCGCCGTAGTTGTTGCGTCAAGTTAGACTAGCAAAGCCATAAGCAGAAGAGCGAGAATGCCAGGTAGAAAGACCAAGGCTTCTGGCGGCCATTTGCACCTCCGTGGCCACGGGCGGAGACACATCTGATGTATCCAAATCATCTGATTTCTCTTAGCCAGGATCCGCTTGCCCTTTGGAATGAACATCTGAAGTATCATCGCAGCATTCCAACATTGGGAACTGGGACATGTGGGCGGGAAGGGCTGAATAACAAAAACCACATGGAGCACCGTGCCTTCGCGATAACCTGTGTTTTAACAATTAGATGAACTGAGATAGACTGCAGAGTCATATTATGTACCCAAGTCGGTCTTGGGACTGCAATTGGGCGAGCTGCGCAATGCTTATCACGAGCTAAGAAGCCTAGCACAAACCATGCATCGGTGTCCGGTTTATCCCCGGTGTCTAATAATAGAACCCTATTTGACATATACGGCCCAGTCTTATTTCCCCTTCCGTCTTCGCGCGCTATGTCAAAGATCATGTCGGCGCACTAACCGCTAGACCAAAAACGATATATCGCGTCTAGTCAGACTAGTGACGGAGAGAGACTGTCCCAACACGGCCCCCTCGAACCGGAGCTATCATAGCTCCACGTTCTGGTTAGGCACCTTCTCGAACTAGATAGACTGCATGGGAAAAGCGAGCCAGGTTAACCACGCCTGGTCTCAAACCTGAAGTCTCCAGATCTGGTTAAGGCATCATGTGCTGGTAAGAACTGACCGGGCTTATAACCTGTCGGCGCACTAACCGCTAGACCAAAAACGATATATCGCGTCTAGTCACACTAGCGACGGAGAGATTACTGTCCCAACAGATCAGCTAGACGCATTGTTGCTACCTCGGATTGTTGGATTTCAAAATACACGGGCTATATTTTCTTTTCAATGCCTCTGCCATACTGACAAGACGATACGAATAAACCCCAATAAAACTCACCAGGTCTGGAAGACCCATGTTGGCTTTATTAACCCGAGGGCACTACTAAAAGGATCTATTGAAAAGTCCCTGTATCTGCCAACACTAATGGAATTGACTCATCTGTGCATATTGCGATCTGATACCGAGCCAAGCTTGCCCCGTTCACATATTTTCCACTTATGCTTTGGCGAATCGACTCATTAAATTGACATTTTCTTATTAAAATAAAAACAGCAAGATTCTGCAGTGAAAACGTTCCCGTTAGTCAACTGATACGAATGTGGAGCGGCGTGGGAAATAACAGTGCTGGGAACGTTGAAGAGGGTGGGTGGAGGTAGAGGTTGCGGGGTACGATGGTCAGTGTATGTAGCAGTACAATGATTTCACCACGTATGAGAGAAACATTAACCGGTATTCTTTCAGATTTGGTAGGCGTTGACGACACTACTCCATGTTTGTTTGGTTCTAATGTGGGGAGGAATGCCTCAGATGAGGGGAATGAATTGTTGTTACTTCAAGACAGACTCCGAACTTGGATACTGGACCACCACAACCCACGTCTCTGTTGAACACGATGCAGGAAGCCTAAATCTTGTTAGATTGGTTAACCCACAATTGAGTTCTGTTCTGGTCCCCCGTGGACACGGTCGTTCTCCGAAACCGGTCAGTCTAAGCTATGAGGAAAGGCACATGAACGACATCGTACAAGTCTATTGTGTGTCAGGTGGTTACGCTCCATATGCGCCCCGCAAGAAACGTAAAGTTCCAAGGAACGCAAGGAATTGAGGGCGGGGAGGCCTACAGGCTCGTAAAATAAAAGGAACCATACGTCCTTCGAAACGTAGACCCGCCTTAGGACTGTGTCTACCATGAACTGGGAATTGTGTCTCACGATAGGCTCCGTCTTCGAGGGGCCCAGGCCTCGTATCTATCTCTGTATCAAAGGAATCATGTTACTGGACGTGGCCATGCATATAAAACACATATCATGTCTGACATCATCGCTTTTGCCGTGGCAATGAAGCGAATTTGTTTGAGTCCCCACCACAATCATGATCATGTCGCTCGTAGGTGCGGTCAATAATGGTAATTGATATGGTAGATGAGTAACTCTGTCAAGCAAGATGAATTGGTACTCTTGGATTAACGATGCAGACAATGCCGGCGAGCCTTTGATGTAATGCTTAGACTGACATCCCTTCTCATACACCATTGTAATGCAAAACCAGCATACGAGAGAAACATATGGACTGAAACATACCATTCGGTGTCTGCTGGAATCAATGCTTCGCCAAAACCTACTTGTACGCGTTGCCCGTGCGGAATAGCCATGCGCCTCGCATCAGCATGGCATGAGGCAACCCTTGCTGCTATGGCAAAAGTTGGACTGGCTCAGAATCTTGCGTATATCCCGAGCCTGAGCGGGTGATTTAACCGGCCAGCAATATCTGCGCATGGAGAAGAAGACCCAGGGCCCGGTGCGGAGATCCCGCTTGGCAAAGCGGGTACCACTGAGTGATACCCTTAATAAGACCACCCTTACTACTCCCAAATCTAGCCGTTCAGGAGTATCTGTGATAATATCTTAACAATATTCTGAGTTTCACTTAGCGTACAATTGGTTTTTGCTCCTTGAGCGTGTGTTTAGGCCTGTCTGACTTCATATTTAGAGCATACTGATCCTGCCATTGCGACGTGATGTGGTTTGTAGAATGGCCTAGAGCGACGTAGTCCTTCCTTTCCAAAAGAGCCGGCACCCCGCCATTCAAAGTTACCCTCAGTTGAATTCATCCTCTAGGATCTACAGAGCTGACTGCCCATGGTCTAGAAGCTTCCAATATCATACTTCACGCAAAGTCCCCTTGGAAAGGACATATGGCCTTTGCTGGGTTCCCAGCAACAGACCCCAGACTTATGAATCGCATTGTTCTCGGGAAGGATTCCAACAAAGGCGGGTTGGGCGGGGTACCCGCACACGAAGTTGTAATATAAGGTTTAAAGTTTCGCCGCCAGCAGATTCCAGACCGGAAATACGAAGCCGCTCTGAATCATAATAATTCAACGCAATAAGGCTGCAAGTCCTCCGTCTAGAACATTACTAGTAAACAACAGCTGCTCGCCTGTTGAGCATCATTCCACTAATACGAGTGAGAGTACAATTCCGAATTATATGTATATCTCGTATCTAAGCATCTTATGGAACAAAGAATGCAGTTGGTGGAGTTTGGGAAAGGATCAATAGTGTCGTCCATGATTAGGTTTTAAATATCCATGGGGGTATCTTTGATCTCGAAGATATAATCTTGACAATCCATGGTTCGTACGCCGCACCTCACCTTATTCATTGAAGCTTCTGACTTCGGAACTTTAATTTAGGATTCCGTTTTCATAACCCTAAATTTACATGTGTTGATTCTAGATCCTCTAGCCTTCGGTGTTGATTGCTCGTCTTGAATGACTAGCTAGTCCCATACTATAAATACCAAGGAACATCCTGTCTCAATTAATATTCTTTTGCACACTACACAATCCACAATAACAAGTAACTCGTTCACCAGCTTCAAAGATATCTGTTATCGAACATCAAGATGAAGGTCTTCTACACCCTCTTGCTTGCAGCCCTTGCTGGCTCCGTGACTGCTTCACCTGTAGCAAACGGTGGATCGTACAAAGATGTTCAAGGTACACAAAGACACCTTATTCAATATCCCTCTGTTCCGCTAACATTCCACTAGGTCATTATCATGATTATGATGATCATCAATGCACCAGGGTAGACCGCGAATGCAAGAAGTGGGACTCCCGGGAGTGCAAGTGTCTTGATAAAGATGGACACAATTACCGCCGGCAAACTGCAAGCATCACCACACCGCCAGCAGCGACAGATACCAACACGAATGCTAACGCGAACACCAACGCAAACACCAATGCTAATACTAATGTTAACCAAAACACCAATGCTAATACTAATGCCAACACCAACCAGGCAACCACTCCACCTACTTCGACTACAACGGTTCCTACAACTACCTCAACTTCTACCTCGACTTCAGCATCAAGCCAGGCGACTAGTACCAGCACGAACAGCAACACCAATACCAATACCAACACTAACACCAATGTCAATGTCAACACTAATAACAACGTCAATACCAATATCAACAATATTAACAATGCTGCACCCGCTACAGGTGGCGGATCGACTGAAGGAGGGGTTGGCGGAGGCAGTGGCAATCCCTCCGATTATAGGTGCCACGGACAGTGGTGTCCTAACTACTTTCCAGGTTGTGAGACCTGGGACTGGGATCACTGCAGGTGTGGAGGCCGCTTCTGTATCAACTTCGACACTAACTGCCGTAACTGGGACTGGGACAGTTGTTCATGCAGATAACGGATATATAAGGTAAGACATACATCTAATTCTCTGGTGGTCTGTCATACAGCTTGCTAAAAAAGATTACTAACAATATAGGGGTTCGAAGGAAGTTTCTTGGCTAGTTATTGAAGGAAAGGGGTTGTTTGTATTGATGTCATTTCCACGGGGTCGAAAAAGGCAGCAACTTGAGTCTATGACTTTTTAACCTAAGCGTCTATGTGGTATTGGGTACAACACCCTAAACCGAACATGTTTATTTCTTCCAAAAGTCTCACAGGGTTCAACACCCTTACTGGCTAAAAAGGGTTACAATTTACTTAAGTCCTCAGGCAGAATGTCAATGAACAGGATTATTGCTTCCAACTCATTATTGTCACGATAAGGTAGCTGGTCTACATTGGTAATGAAGTATTAGAGGCGAGCCATACCTAGTATTGGATCACCGGCTCTATGTACAAGAAGGCTATTGTGATGGCATTGAAGCAAAGTGATTGGGTTACATGTTTATTTTTGCTTTGTTGGATAAATCTTATGTAGTTTTAGGTATTTTGCCTATTTATTTATTGTTCTTTATTCTTTATATTTCTTCCCACACTGCCTTTTACATATTTAATATTCTGGTTTAAACATACCAAATGAAAGCTATTTAATTAGCTTTTATGTAATATCAAATATTATAATCATTTAATTTTTTCATTTATATTAAATACAGCTATATTAAATAAGACTACCAGTACCTTTTGTGATATATAGCGCGTCATTGTCGGGGTGATAGAATCCTACATTGAATTCCATCGCAGAGTCCTCTTGTTCCTGGACTAAGTCAGGATCTAGTTCAATGAATTGCTTGCGAAAGATTTTCATCCGAAGTAGTTTCTCCTTGCACTTTTGAGAAGCATGATTACATTCTCAAACACTACCGGCATGAAATAAGCCATGGCACATTAGACTTGACACGAATGCAAGTTATACTGTGTCCTCCAATGCTTGTCTCGGACTAGAAAAAAATAAAGCAATATACGAAACATACAGGGACAATACAAAGGAAAGGACAACGAAGAACAAAAAAAGGAAAGGAAAAGAACCAACTCCAACCCCTATCAGGGCTGGGCTGGGCTGGCCCGAGCCCGAACCCAAGGTCTGCAGAATGTTATAAATTGATACGATACATTTAGAGACATAAATGAAGATGAACACTATATATGTAGTTTTATTGCCATTGTAGGCTGGACGTTGTCTTCCCAGGTTCAATCTCCTTGCTGTAGAAAATTGAACCAATCCATTCGATCAATCACTGGATACCTACAAATCATCATACTCTATACCAAGCGGCACATTTCAAGGGAAAGCTATACCTTTGGTGTCGCGGCAACAAAGTCTAGATACTTTGAATTTGAGGAGGATGCAGTAGTAATGCCTTCCTGGTACTGCTGCCCTTTTCGGACTTGGCCAATCTTCCACCCTCAGAGCATAACCAGGCATAGCGCGGCGCCGATGTACATAAATCCCGTGAAGAGCTGCGTATACAAGAATTCATGCCGTCCAGAGGTTCGCAGCTCGAGACCGATGGCTTCTCCGACTGTTATCCTCGACCTGATTAGTATTTCGTTGTCTTTGGACATATTGGTATTGAAGGACGTCGGGCAGAGAGGAAAGAGACGCTCACACATTGCAGGGACCGAGCAGAACAGCCACATGATCGTCAATCCTGACTGCAGATCCTCTAAAGCGACAACCTCTGCTCCAAGAGGGCCGACAATCGAGGCCAGATTCAGCTGGCAGTTAGCATCCACGTAGGGGGGAGAGCAGAAATAATGAGCAAAGAAAGGACCAGGTACCGTCCAGAAAGTGCCGAAGAAGACACCTACAAACAAGACAAAGCATATCAAAGCAGTGTAAGTGCGAGCAAACATCCAGAGAAGCAGACAAAGCAAGCCACTGATGAGAGTGGCAAAAGTAGCAATATTGATGCGGCCGACAGCATCCGACATGAACCCCACCGCAGGGCGTCCCACCATTTGGCCAACATTCATGACCGCTGTGACAATTGAACCTTGACTCGAAGTCAACCCGACACTGCGCCCATACATCACCAATAAAAACCAGATGACCATGAACCCCATAATACTGAAGAAGCTCCAGCCAAGGTACAACCACATCTCATACCGGGTGCAGAGGCGGAAGTTGATATAAAACGAGCGGTTGGGTGCTGCTACCCCTTTACAATCCCGGATTACAAGAAGACAGATCGCATTGACGACGAGCTGGCAGATAGCAAGAATACAATAAGACCACCCCAGGCCGAACCGCGCAAGCAGGACATGCATTGAGAGAGAGTAGATCAGGCCTCCTGTTCCACTACCGCCTGTTGCAATGCCGGCTGCGAGACTGCGATGGCGATTAAACCATTAGGGAATTAGGTATTCATTAAGAGGTACTGCATCCCGAGGCCCCAACCAAAGCAGGCACCTTGGCTTAGATAGAGTTGCCAGATTTAATTACTCCAAGAGGCGCCCAAAAAGGCAGCAGTTTCAAGCAAAACGCCCAGAGCCATGGTGGCTTTGAGGCCTATGCGGCGGTGGAGGACAGTGACTAACGGCGAGATGAACAGTGCCTGTGAGGCGGAAAGTCCTCCGATAAAGGCATAATCAAGAGTGCGACTCCCGGGGAACGTAGACTGCGAGGTAAAGTAGGCGAGGAAGACGCCGTAGCTCTAGATGATGTTAGTGTGCTTGGGTGGGAGCTATAAGATGATGCTAACAGATGCATGTAACAGACTGCATGGTATGATGATAATATTCCATTATTTGCGGATAGTAGAATATTCAGTTGTAAAGGCAGGTACCCACCAGAAGGAAGAGGATGTGTTGGTCCATTTTAGAGATGGTAAGGGTTAGGTTGAGGGGGCATGGGATGGTGCAGATACCAGTGTTATTATTGTTGGAAATAGTGTTGTCAATACTGTTGTAGTTTAGAACAAGGGAAAATATCAAATATATATATCTAATTATTCAGAAAAAGATTTTTATTTTTTATAAATAATAATAATTAATCTTTTTTAGTCAGGCTTGCTTACAGGCCTCAAGATTATTATTCTATTTTAATCAAAAAAAGATAGCAGCAGTATAAATAAGCTTTCAGAAAAATATATTATTTCTAGATAGAATTTCTTATATTTATTATATTTTATGCTTGTATATATTACAGTATCTAGAAATTAATAATTCTGGAACTAGTTCCATAAGCTACTATCTCTGTAAGAATTATAAGAAATAAAAATTCTCAGCTTTTTTCAAATAAATAATTAGACAGATGCTGGCCACAGGATCATTATAGATATATTTATATTAATTATTTTTTTATTATTATTTATTCTGAAATCTTATTTTTACTTGAGCTGCTAGGTCTTTATAGTCTATAATAAATAGGATTTTCTTGATTAAGTTTTATATTTTATTATTATCTATTACCTTCTATTTTGAACTAGAGTGGTTATACCTGACTGTTATACCTTAACCTAACCTTAACCGTAACCTGACAGTTAGGTTAAGATATAAGAATCCTCTTAACTGTACAGTTAAGGATAGGTTACAGTTAAAAGATTACTTTAACTAATTTTAACCACCGGTTAGAAAGATCAGGTATACTTAGAAGATTAATAACTATAGATTAATTAATAATTTATATAAAGTCTTTACAAGAATAATATACCAGTAGTAATATATTTTTAATTATTATATTATTAGACCAGATATTAAATTAGTTATTAATTAATAATAATCTAATTTTCTAGCTAGTAGTCAGCAGTCTAGTTACTCCTGTATTAGACTTTTATAGATGATATTAAAAATCTGAATATAATTAAATTAAATTATTAGAGAGAAATATATTAATTATTATCTAAATTATTCTTTCTATTATCCTGGTCAGTGGTCATGATAGTAAAAAAATTATATAATTTAAATATCTATTTATATCTGGATATATATAATATTATTAAACTAAGAAAAAACTAGATCTTTTTTTTTAATAATATTCTATTTTTAGAATCATTATTAAGATTATCTATATTCTTATTCTTACTAATATAAAAGATTATTATTAGCTTATTATCTTCTTAATCCTCAGCTGTAAATATAATAAAATCTAAAGAAAAATTATTAAAAATATCCTGATATTTCTCAGTAATAGTAAAGTAATTAATATATATCTAGAATATAAGAGCTTTAATAATCTTAGAATATAGATAGCTCTGGTAATAGTAGCAGATATTCTAAGAATTATTAAAAAAATATTTAATATTAATATTATTAATTATAATAGTTAAGAAGTCTCTAGCTATATAATGAAGAATAAAAAACTAATTATAACAGGATTTCTAATAAATAAAAATATCAGAGTATCTAGTAATTCCTAAATAATTATTAGTATAAATATGATTTTTAATATAATTAATTTATTATTCTAATTTTTAATAATCTATATATTTTTAATATCAAGATAAATCTTGAGTTTCTTGAAAATTATTATAAAAGATAAAAGCTTCTAATACTTTAAGATATTATAAAAGATCTTATCTAGATCTGAGAATATATTAAAAATTATAAATAATATATTAATAGCAGGATTCTGCTGGCAGTAAAAATAAAAGATTTTTTTAAAGATAATTTAATATTTAAAGTATTAATTAGTATTATTATCTAGCCAGGCGCCTTTCTTGAATTTTTTAAGTTTTGATATAAAGTCTAGAACTATTATAATTATATAAATATAATTTTTATTTTAATAAATCTAGTAGTAGTACTTACAAAGCTTTTAATATATATTTTCTAAATCCTGGAAAATCTTTTTCTTCCAGAATATCTGCTTCTATGCTAGCTGATTAATAGATTAATCAAGATAATTAAAGAGATTATTATAAATATTATAAATCTTATAAATTATAGACCCACTATTCTCTGATAAGTAAAAGATAAAGAAAAAAAGAAATATAAAAACTTAAGTAAATATTCTAACTATTTCTATTTTATTAAAATAGAATAAAAATAATTAATATTATTATAATCCCAGTACTGGATAAAGTTCTTGATAGCTAGATATAATTTAATTATATAATAAAATATAAAATAAATTAAGTTTTATTAGATTTTATAATTAAGAAAAAGATAATATACTGAAGCAGATTTTAATTACTAAGTAAGCTGAAATTTCTTTTAATATTAAAGACTTATATTTATAAAATATATAATCTTCTAAATTTATAATTAAGAATTAAAGAAGTAGATAAAAGATAATAAATAAAGTATAGAAATTATCTGTAAAAGCCTTATATAAAATATTCTAGAAATTATTTATAAAAATCTTATATATCTTATCTCACGGTCCATGGAAGCACTTTTTAACTAGAGTCTTAATTAATTCTGATTTTAGAAATCCTTTTTAATTAAAGTTAAGTCTTAATTCTAGTTCTAATTAAAAAGAGCTTCTAGAATTAGAATCAAGACTTAGCTTCAGTTAAAAAAGACTTCCATGGATCATAAGATAAGATATATAAGATTTTTATAAATAATTTCTAAAAAATCCTGCAGAAGCTTTTTATAGATAACTCTTATTATATATTTTCTTAATTATCTAGAAGATACTAAAAGAGATCTCTAGTTTCTTATTATTATTTTTTTATATATATTTAACAGCTTTATTAGCAGCCTTAAGTCAGAGTTTTTAAAAAAAGATATTAATAAAAAACTGAATAGTATAAGTTAGACAGAAAATATAATACTGGCTTTAAATAATTTTTATAAGATCAGAGTTTATTAAAATATTATAGAGATAGATACCCTGGCTGAGTTAAATCTGAAATTTTAATATAATAATACTGAATATAATATAATTATTATTAGTATTATTAGTAATCATATCTAATAACCAGTATATAAAGTAGTGCTTTTACAGAATTTTTAAAATAATTTTAACTAAATTTTTATTAATATAAGATCCAGATACTAGTCAGAAGCTTAATAAAATTTTATAATAATCTATATCCTCTGTCAGAAAATATCTAGTTAAAATAAAAAATATTTTTTAATCTAGACTAGTTTAATAGTTAATTGTAATCAATATACACCTGCTGTCTGGAAATTTTAATAATAATTAAATATATATCTTCTCTAATAACTCTAAGAGATACTCTTTAATTTATATCTAATAAGAAAAAATAAATATTTAAAAAAATACTAAAACAGCAAGATTAAGTATCTATTTAAATTAAATATACTTAATAGTAGAAAATAATAGACAGTAGATAATAAGAAAGTATAATACTTAATTAAGAAAATTTCTTTTATTATAAATAATAAAAGTCTAGAGATAATATAATAGATATTAATAATAATAACCTGCTAGAGGGCCTATTTATAAAAATATTATTAATAATTATATATCTGTAGTAATTCTTTCTCCAGTATTTATTTAATAATTTGCTTAGAGATATACTAGAATATTTATTTTTTATAATTCTTGTAAAGATAGTAGCTTATAGAATTAATCTTAAAATTATTAATTATTAAATATTATAAAATATACGAGCATGCAGTGCAGGAAATATAAAAAATATTATTAGAAAATAATATATCTTTTTAAAAATAAGTCTATAGTGTTACTGTCTTTTCTTGATTAAAATAAAAGAATAATTTCTAATCTTATATATAAGTCTAGTTAAGAGCAGGTATTTTTTATTAATTATAAAAAAAAAAGTCTTTTCTGGGAGAGCTGGATATAAAATAATTTTCTGATATTTTATAATATACTTAATATTATGATTTAGAAAAGAAAAAATAATATAAATTAAAAAGCTACTTTCTATCCGGCTATTATCATGATTTATAAAAATCTATAAGATAAAAAAAGAAAATTTAATAATATTCTTTAAGAATAGATTTAATAATTATAATTAACTTATAATAGACTATCCATCTATACAAGAAATCAAAGAAAGTAAAGAATAAGAAAAACTTAATTAATATAATATTATTTTACTTTTAAATATATATTAATATAAATATAATCTATTATATTTATACATATTAGAAATATCTAATAATAATAAGTTTTTATTAAAAATATCTTTTAATTTTATTTACAGGTGAGAATTTGCAGCATCCAGTAATTATTATATAAAATATCTCTGATATAATAGATAGTCAGGTTTAATCAAGTAATATAAGAAAAAATTCTATAAAAATATTCTATAATTATTATAATAATATTATTAATAGAGTTTATAAAAGTCTTTTATAGATTTTATTTATTATTTAAGTCTTTATATTTATAATTAACAGATTATAAGAAATACAGATTTTTAAATAAATTAAGTAGACAGAATTACACGGAATATTATAATTAAATAATATAGATAATTTATAGTTTTTAGACTTATTACAAATACTTAGACAGTATTTTAAGTATATAAAAAAATAATAAGTCTATTTATTATTATATAAGAAAATTTTCAGAGAGATTTACCAGTCTGGAGAAATAATTTAGAAGATATTAATATTTTACTAGCAGTATATAACTAAAATAAAACTATAAATATATATATTTACTATTATTTTATACTATAAGAATAGCTTTTTTTTATAAACTTAATTATTACCACCACCTGAGATAATATTAGATTAAATAAATAAAGATAGAATAAATTATATTATTTTCTTTCTTCTGATTATTTTTAAAATCAAGAAGATTAGTTTTATATTAATTATTAATAAAGATATAAACAGTCAGAATAGATAGTTATTAATCTAAGTATATTTTATCTGTGTTAAGATCTAAAAGAGTATAACAGATAAATCTTGATATTAAGAATAATTAAAAT